TTGAGGTCCCTCAGTGCTGTCTCAGAGAGTAATAGATCCTTTTTTTTTTTTTTACAGCTGCATAGTATTCCATGGTGTAAATGTACCACAGTTTTTTTATCCATTCGTTTACTGATGGGCACTTGGGCTGTTTCCATATCTTAGCTATTGTAAATAATGTTGCTATGAGCATAGGGGTGCATATATTCGTTCTTATTGGTGTTTTGGGATTCTTAGGATATATTCCTAGAAATGGGGTTGTGGATCAAATGGCAGTTCGATATTTAATTTTTTGAGGAACCTCCACACTATTTTCTGTAGTGGCTGCATCAGTCTGCATTCCCACCAGCGGTGTACTAGGGTTCCTTTTTCTCCACATCCTCGTGAACGTGAACGTTTGTTGTTTGTTTGTTTATTGAAAGTAGCCATTCTGGAAGGTGTGAGGTGATATCTCATTGTCGTTTTAATTTGCATCTCTCTGATGATTAGTGATATTGAGCATTTTTTTGTATGTCTCTTGGCATTTTGTATGGCTTCTTTGTAGAAGTGTCTATTTAGGCCCTCTGCCCATATTTTTATTTGGACTGTTTGTCTTCCTTTTGTTGAGTTGTATGAGTTCTTTATATATTTTGGAAATTAACCCCTTATCTGATGTATCATGGGCAAATACGTTCTCACATTCAGTGGGTTCCCTTTTCATTTCGATGCTGGTTTCTTTTGCTGTGCAGAAGCTTTCTACTTTGATGTAGTTTCATTTGTTTATTTTTTCCTTTGTTTCTCTTGCCCTAGGCGATGTATCAGTTAAAATTCTGCTATGTGAGATGTCTGAGATTTTGCTGCCTACATTTTCTTCTAGAATTTTTATGGTTTCACAACTTACATTTAAGTCTTTTATCCATCTTGTGTATAGTGTAAGTTGGTGGTCTAGTTTCATGTTTTTGCATGTACATGTCCAGTTTTCCCAGCACCATATATTGAATAGACTGTCTTTACTCCATTGTATGCTTTTGCCTCCTTTGTCAAATATTAATTGAGCATAATGGCTTGAGTTGATTTCTAGGCTCTCTGTTCTGTTCCATTGATTTATGTGCTTGTTCTTGTGCCAGTATCAGGCTGTTTTGATTACAGTGGCTTGGTCGTATAACTTGATATTTGGTATTGTGATCCCTCCAATTTTGTGCTTCTTTCTCAAGATTGCTGTGGATATTCTGGGTCTTTTTTGGTTCCATATAAATTTTTGAAGTATTTGTTCTAGATTTGTGAAATATGCTGTCAGTATTTTAATAGGGATTGCATTGAATTTATAGGTTGCTTTGGGTAGTATGGGCATTTTAATGATGTTAATTCTTCTAATCCATGTACACGGTATATTCTTCCCCTTGTTTATATCATTCTCTGTTTTTGCAACGTCCTGTAGTTTGCCGAGTACAGACCTTTTACCTCCTTGGTTAAGTTTATTCCAAAGTATCTTAATTTTTTTGTTGCAATGCTAAATGGGATTGTTTTTTTAGTTTCTCTTTCTGAGAGTTCATTATTGGTGTATAAAAATGCAATCAATTTCTGGGTGTTAATTTTGTATCCTGCTGCCTTACTGAATTCATTTATTAAATCCAGTAGTTTTTTGGTGGAGTCTTAAGGATTTTCTATGTACAATATCATGTCATCTGCAAATAATGACAGTTTTATTTCCTCCTTTTCAATTTGGATGCCTTTTATGTTTTCTTCTTCTCTGATGGCTGTGGCTAGGACTTCCAGTATTATGTTGAATAAAAATAGTGAAAGTGGACACCCCTGTCTTGTTCCTGTACTTAGGGGAAGTGCTTTTAGTTTTTGCCCATTGAGTGTGATGTTGGCTGTAGGTTTGTCATATATGGCCTTTATTATGTTGCGGTATGATCCCTCTATTCCCACTTTGCTGAGAGTTTTTATCAAAAATGAGCGTTCGATTTTATCAAATGCTATTTCTGCATCTATTGATATGATCATGTGATTTTTGTCTTTCAATTTGTTTATATGATGTATCACATTTATTGATTTGTGAATAATGTATCAGCTTGCATCCCTGGAATAAGTCCCACTTGGCCATGATATATGATCTTATTATTTTTAATCCTCACCCAAGGAGTGAAGATATTTTTCCCGTTGATTTGAGAGAGAGTGGAGGGGAGGGGTGGGGGGGGGAGAGAAACACTGATGTGACAGAAACACAGCGATTGGTTGCCTCCCACATGCGCCTCGACTGGGGACGGAATTGGACCTGCAACCCAGGTACATGCCCTTTACCCGGAATCAAACCCAAGAAATGTCCAGTGCAAAGGCTGATGCTCTAGCTACTGAGCCACACCCGCCAGGGCTGATCTTTTTAATATATTGCAGGATCCAATTTGCTAATATTTTGTTGAGGATTTTAGCATCTATGTTCATCAGGGATATTGGCCTGTAATTCTCTTTCTTTGTAGTTTCTTTTTCTGGTTTTGGAATTATGATAATGCTGGCCTTGTAAAAAGACCTTGGAAGTGTTTCTTCCTCTTGGATTTTTTGGAATAGTTTGAGGAGGATAGGTGTTAGTTCTTCTTTGAATGTTTGGTTAAACTCCCCTGTGAAGCCGTCCAGACCAGGGCTTTTGTTTGCTGAGAGTGCTTATTATTACTGCTTCAATTTCATCAGTTGTTATTGGCCTATTCAGGTTTTCTGATTCTGCCTTATTCAGTTTTGGAAGATTTTATTTTTCTAGGAATTTGTCCATTTTGTCCAGCTTGTTGTCATATAGTTGTTCATAGTATTTTCTTACAATCCTTTGCATTTCTGTGGTATCAGTTGTTACTTCACCGCTTTAATTTCTGATTTTATTTATTTGGGTCCCTCTCTTTGTTCCTTGATGAGTCTGGCTAAAGGTTCATCAATCTTGTTTATCTTTTTTCACAGAACCAGCTCTTCGTTTATTGATCTTTTGTATTGTATTTTCAGTCTCTATGTCGTTTATTTCTGCTCTGGTCTTTATTATTTCCTTCCTTCTACTTACTCTAGATTGTTCTTGTTGTTCTCTTTCTAATTCTTTTAAATTGTAGGGTTAGATAGTATATTAGAAATTTTTCGTGTTTCTTGAGGTAGACCTGTAGTGTTATGAACTTGTCTCTCAGGACTGTTTTCACTGTGTCTCATAGATTTTGGGTTGTTGTCTGTTCATTTTCATTTGTTTCAAGGAAGTTTTTTATTTCTTCCTTGATCTCATTGGCAACCCATTCATTGTTTAATAATATGCTATTTAACCTCCATGTTTTTGAATGTTTTTGAGTGTTTTTATTGTAGTTGATTTCTAGTTTCATGCTGTTATAATCCGAGAAGATGCTTGATATGATTTCAATCTTCTTGAACTTGTGGAGACTTGTTTTGTGTCCTAACATGTGGTCCATCTTTGAGAATATCCATGTGCACTTGAGAAGAATGTATATTCTGCAGCTTTGGGGTGAAATGTTCAATAAATGTCAATTAAATCCATTTGATCTGGTGTGTCATTTAGGGTCACTGTTTCCTTGTTGATTTTTGTCATATTAATTCTTAATTAATTAATTCTGTTCAGCTAGACTTCAGGTGCTTCTCAAGATGGTTGTCTGTAGTTTAGTTGTAATATTCATATGGTTGTGGGAGGAGGTGAGTAGCGAGTACTGCACTTATCTACTCTGCCAGTTTGGCTGAAGCCTCCTTAGTCATTTTTTGGGGGTGCATAGTATTCTGTCGTAAAGGTATACCACAATATATTTAGCCATTCCTCGTCTTACATTCTTCTAATCTTTAACTTATAAAAACAGTGTTACAAGGAATAATAATGATACATCATTTTGCGATAAAGATATACAGTTTGTACATCAGTAGGATAAATTACCAAAAGACTATTGCTGTGTCAGACAGTATGTGAATTTGTTACTGACAATTGTTGAATCCCCTTCCATAAAGGCTATACAGTTTATACTACAACCAGCTGTGTAGAAGATTGTATATTATCAAATCGTCAGTGAAGTTTTAACTTGCATGTCTCTTATTATGGGGGAAGTTGAGCATATTTTCATGTGTTAAGAACTCATTTGTATTTTTTTTCTGATACACTGTTTTTATATTCTGGATTTTGCATAACCACTAAGGATTTAACATTTTTGAGGCTATCCTCTGCAAATATTTTAAAGCAAGAGAAGACATAGTATAAAGATTATGAACTCTGGAGTCTTAGGTTTATGTCTTGGTTTTTGCCACTTATCATTTGTTCAATATTCATTTGTTCAGTAAGTACTATACTTATAATTATGTAAAAATAATTTTTATTAGTGTTAGAAAAGCAAGAAATAGGCTAAATACTGTAATTAAGTGGTGCTGGGAAAATTGTGGGTATTTTGTAGTATCTAATTTTTCTGTAAATGGGAATGCATTTTATAATAGAAAAATATCGTGTGTATATATATATATATATTTTTTTTTTTTAGAAAGGGAATTATTTTTCAGGTTTGTTGAGATGTAATTTGCATACAGCACTGTATAATTTTAAGATGTATAGCATAATGACTTGACTTAGATGTACTGAGAAATGATTACCCCAATAAATTTAGTTAACACCCACCACTCATATAGTTATAAAAAAATTTTTTTTTTCTTTGTGATGAAAACTTTTAGGATCTACTCTTAGCAACTTTTATATATACCATACAGCATTGGTAATTATAACCACCATTACATCTCCGGTACTTTTTTATCTTATAACTGTAAGTTTATACATTTTGAGCACCTTCATCCAATTCCCCCACCAACCCACCCCCTGGCTCTGGTAACCACAAATCTGACCTCTCTGTGTGTGTTTGGTGTTTTGTTTTGTTTTTTAGATTCCACATACAGTATTTGTCTTTCTCTGTCTAACATTTCATTTAGCATAATGTCCTCAAGGTCCATCCATGTTGTCACAAATGTGGTATACGTTATTGTTAAATGATTAACTATTTTATTAAAATTCCCCTTCCCTCTTTTTCCCATTATAGACAGAGAGTGCATGGGCCGAAGAATACTCTGCTAAGAAGAAAGGGTCTCATAAGCGTTCAGCGTCCTGGGGAAGTACAGATCAACTTAAGGAGGTCAGGAAAATGATTCCAGGAAAGTGGGTGTGGAAACTTGATTCCTTCATTGGCTAGTTCCTTGAAGTTGTGGGCAGCAGGGATTTTGTCTGTTTCCATTGTGTGTGGGTGTGTTGTTTTGTTTTCAGTTCTGTTTACTTGAGAAATTACAACAGAAAAAGTTATGTTAATTGGATAAAGATTTGAGTGGAGAAATGGACACATTACTTATCTGATAGTGTGTTTTTCTGTCTTTTTTAAAAATGAAAGTTATATTTATTAATATTATAATAAATACACATTTTAGTGATACAATAAATACACATTTGTTATTTTATGTATAATGGTAGTGTTTTGCAATTCAGTAACCCTGTATAGCCAGTAGATTATGTCCTTATGCTCTGATTACTGTTTTTGTTTGTTATTTAAAGGTTGTATCTGTGAATGTATTTCGTGGCTTGAGTTGATTTTTAAATACTGTGTAATTTTTGGAGCTGTTGAAGGTTACATGTTTGATAAAGAAACCTAAATCTAAATAAAATGTGATTTATGAGGGTAGTGAGAGAATAATTATCATTATTTTTAAATCCTTTGTGAAAGCTGTAATTAATTTATTCTAAATGCTGAAAATTTCACTTGTTTAGTTGAGAGGCTTGAAGGCTCAGAACAATATTGGAATATCTCTTTAAAAGATACACTCATGTGCACACCTGTGTGTATGTGTGTATATAAAAATTTTGTACAGTAAAACAGATTTTGTGATATGGTCTAAAAATTCAGAACATTTATTAAGGCTGAATTTTACTGGTTCTTATTAAGCAAGGATGTTTTATGTAGTATGGAATCACCCTTATGCACTTATTTTGTTTCCCCTTTTCAGATTGCAAAATTACGCCAGCAGTTGCAGAGAAGTAAACATAGCAGTCGGCATCATCGAGATAAAGAAAGACAGTCTCCATTCCATGGCAACCATTCAGCCATTAACCAGTGTCAGGTAGGAGCACAGATACTGCAAGATCCAGACAAGGGATTTGTTATTTCATAGGTAACTGTGTAGGACAAAATATCCAAATTACAGCCTTCATTAAAAAACACACAACCCAGAATATTACGTTGACAAAATGACATTTTCCTTTGGTGATCTGTAATATTACTTCTAGGAGAGATAGCTAATTTTGCATATTTTGATTTGCCATATTTTTGTCTTGGTCAATTTAGTATGTTGGAGGCAGAATAATATATAGAGAGAAACCTAGCTATGGAACCAGACCTTGAATGAGTAACCTGTTCTAATTCTCCGTTTCCTCATCTGAAGATTGAGGATAATAATGATACCTATCTCATAAAGTCATTTAGTGGGGGAAAACCTTTAGCTGCTTTGATTTCTTAATAGAACCTTATGAACTATTCTTGCTGGCTCAACCTGGGAGCATTTCTCTTTAATGGAATTGAAATTGGATGGGGGTTCCTTGGCAAGGAGAAAGCAAGAAAAAGTTTACCAAACACTTTTATAGATTGATAGCTTATGTGGATTGTTTTCAAGGGGAAGTATGGGTAGAGGTAGGTATTTTTTCAACTAATTTTGTCCTAAAATACTGATACATGGTATGAAATCAAAGACAAATTTGATTTCATAAATTTATAGTTTGGTTGTAATTTCCAATAGCTTTTTTCTATATAAAGTATTTTAATTATAACATATGAATATACACTAATACATTAAAAACCTAAACAAACTAGATTTATATCTGGGAAAATAGAGAATGTAAAATTGACAAAATAAATGAAAAATTTGTATAGACTAATAATACTAAAATTGGAATGCTAATTAGAAACCAAACTCCCTCATTCTCAAAAGGCTACAGATCCAGGTGGTTTTGTAGGTGAATTTGCCAACCTTCCGCTCCCTCTGATTTATCCATAAATAGTTTCTCTGTATTCGTACGGGATAAGGCTGCCTTTTAAAAAAAAATTTTTTTTATATAATTTTATTGATTTCAGAGAGAGGAAGGGAGAAGGAGAGACAGAGATAGAAACATCAATGATGAGAGAGTCATTGATCAAGCCTGCAACCCGGGCATGTGCCCTGACCCGGAATTGAACCCCGATCGCCTGGATCCTAGGTCGATGCTCAACTGCTGAGTCACGCCCGGCCGGGGAAGGCTGCTTTTTATCCCCAAGTCATATTTTTACTTCAAGGAGAGTAGGACATAAGATGGACTTTTATTGCATTAAGTGATGAGTTTTAGGAGTTTATGAGCTTTAAAGTGATTTTTTTAAGCTGCATTAACATCAGTAAAGTAGTAAAATTATATAAAAATTCCCTGGCAAATTGAATTTTCTTAATAAAGATTGGAGTTTGTATAAAGTTCATATTTAATTCTAAAACATCTCTTTGCAGAGAGCGAAAGGACTAGAAAATAGAGTACTTGAAAAATAAATTCATGTAGCTTGAGTTTTGTACACATAACACACCAAACATCCTGAATAGTTGACTTGGGATATTGAGATTTAATAGTCAACCAGAGTTCAGATACATGTGCACCATGATAGCTGTGACGATGGTATTCATGGTTAATTGAAACTTCCAGGTACGAACATGAAATTAGTGTTCATTAAGTCATGGGTGTGGCTTTGTTTTAGTGGAGGGAAATACCACTTTGAGATATGTGTACCTTTGAGGCCATTCCTCCATTCAAGATTATTAAATATCTGCCATACAGCTGGTACTGTAGTACCAATTAGGGAGACCAGTGATAAATGAAAATATTGGGGCTTACCCCTCACCAAGTCCCAAAGAGATATAAAAACAGTTAATTGTTACACAGTGTAATGAGTGTGTTGATAAGGGAAAGCTCAGGGAGTCTAGAAGGGGTATTTATCCTTGATCTGGCTTTGGATCCATCTAGAAAGGCTTCTCAGAGAAAGTGGTGTCTATGCTGATCCTTTAAGGATAAGAATGATTTATTCAGTCTTCTAGAAGTGGAAGAAATCATGGCTCCAGGTAGGGGTAGTATGAAGAGATTAGGTTAAAGAGGTAAATGGCAGCCAAACCTGGAAGTCTTCATATCTCAGTTATTAAGAATTTTTACTTTGTCCTAGAGGCATCAGGGAGCTAATTTTTCAAATGCAGGAGATTGATATGTGATCAGATAAGCACTTTAGAATGGTCATTATGCGTTCAGAGCAGAGTACTCTAAACTCTTGGAAGAGGACAAGATTAGAGGCAGGAAAATCATTTAAGAGAGTAGGATTTATAATCTAAGTACGAAATGATGGGTGGCCTAAAGTAAGATAGTAGGTTTGGAACTGGAGAGAATTGCCAAACCTGAGTGATAGTTAGAAAGTAATAATAGTTGAACTCTATTAAGTGCTTACTATATTGCATGCACTCTACTCAGATATTGATGTAGTTGATGCATTTAATCCTCACCTTTGAGGTAAGAATTATTATATCTTCATTTTATAGACAAGTAAATTAAGGCCCAGAGAGGTCAGGTATTTTGCTTACGGTCATAAGACATTTGACTTCAGAGTCTGAGTTTTTAAACTCTGTTAGATGGTTGATGAAATGGAATGATGGAGAAATAAGAGTAAAGAGCAATGCCAGTTCTAGCCTTTAAACATTTAAAAAATACCTACTTCACGCCATGTAGAAAAGTAACTAAAAATGGATCAAAGACCTAAATGTAAGAGCTAAAACTAAAACCTCTTAGACAAAAACATAGGCATAAACTTGACATTAGATTAAGCAATGGTATGTTAGCTATGACACCAAAAGCACAAGCAACAAAAGAAAAAGTAGATAAATTTGCCTGGCCAGTGAAGCTCAGTGGCTGTTGACCCATGAACATAGTTCAGTTCCTGGTCAGGGTATATGCCCAGGTTTCAGGCTCGATGCCCAGTAGGGGGCGTGCAGGAGGCAGGTTATCAATGAGTCTCACTGATGTTTCTATCTATCTCTCTGTCTCCCTTTCTCTCTCTCTAATCAATACAAACATTTTAAAAAAAACAACCACCAGAAATTTTTAAAAAGTAGATAAATTGGATTTTATCAAAATTAAAACATTTTTGCTTTAAAAGACACCATTGGAAAGTGAAAAGACAACCCACAAAATAAGAGAAAATATTTACAAATTATATATCCAATAGAGCAGTTGTATCTAGAATATATAAAGAATTCTTGCAACTCAGTGAAAAAGAAGACAAACAGCCCAATTAAAAAGGGGCAAAGGATCTAACTAGAGTTCTTCAGGAAGATATACAAATAGCCAATAAATACGTGAAAAAGATGCTCAGCATCATTTATCAATAGGGAAATGCAATTAAAAGTGCTAATGAGTTACGACTTCATGCCCTCTGGGACAGCTAACTTTTCTTTTTGTTTTTCAATTGTCGTATAGTAAAATTGACGTTTTTTTGTGGAGTTGACAAGAAAAAAAAAAACCAATGAAAAAAATATCCTCGGATAAGGGTTAACCAAAAAAAAGAAAACAATGCCAGGAAAAATAGTTTCTCATTGTAAAGTTTTTAGAGTCATATTTAAGTTCTCTGAATCACTGTATCTCAGGATTGTATTTAAGTAGTCTCTTTAGACTACTGAAAACTTTAAAAATGAAAAAACTAGGGGTGGATTTATTAGTCATCTTGGGCTACCATAACAAAATACTGTAAGTAGAGTGGCTTATACAACAGAAATTAATTTTCTCACTGAGACTGGAAGGAAGATCAAGGTGCCAGCAGGGTTAGTGTCTGGTAAGAGCTCTTTGGGTTGCAGATAGCCATCTTCTTGCTATGTGCTTAAAAGGCCTTTCCTTGGTGCATGTGTGTAGAGAGGGAGAGAATGAACAAGAGCTCAAGCGAGCTCCTCTCCTGTCTCTTGTAAAATCACTAATCAGCCCTGGCCCGTGTAGCTCAGTTGGTTGGGCATTGCCCCGCCCACCAAAAGGTTGCCAGTTCGATTCCTGATCAGGATACATGCCTGGGTTGTGGGCTAGATATCTGGTAGAGCAAGTGCAGGAAGCAGCCGTTTTGATGTTTCCCTCTCACATCGATGTTTCTCTCTCTCCCTTTCCCTTCCTATCTAAAAATCAATAAAAAATATATATATGTGTATATATATTTTTACCATTTTTTTATCATTTATTTCCTCTGCTTCAAATTCTAGCTCAAATATTTTACATTTTAATTTTATATTTTAACTTATCTTAGAACAGTAATTTCTGGATATTCATGAAAAAATGGAAATAAACGAAATGATAAATGATATCTTTAAATACATGGTAAAATGTTCCATGCTATTAAGTTTAAACAGCTAGAAATACATCTACACATAACTTATAACTCATTTTTCATATCTTTCAGTCTTCTCTCCATATGTATTTTTCTATATGTGAAAATAAGTCTCAAAACCACACACAAATCTATATGTTTAATAAAAATATATTTTTAAAAATCACTAATCATTGGATCATGGCCCTGTTCTTATTCCTTACAGGCCCCATATCTTAATGTAGCTACATTGGGGGTTACGGTTTCAACATGACTTTTAGCAGGACACAGACAGACACATGTTCCATAACACCAGCCTTGTTGAATAGCATTTCTGTTCTAGACAGAAGATGAATAAGACATAGTTTCTCCATTCAGGTTGATGGTAGAGAAATAGAAGAAAAGTATATTACCTATAATTCTTTTATCCACATATGGCTTACTCTTGATATTTTGAGAGAATAATCTTTTTTTTCTGTGTGAAATATAAATGTGTGTGTTGTATATGTATATATTGGCTTTTGGTCAGATAAACTTTAAGAGCTAAAGGAAGAGCCCAGCCGGGTGTGGCTCAGTGGTTGAGCATCGACCTAGGATCCAGGCGTTCGGGGTTCCATTCCTGGTCAGGGCACATGCCCGGGTTGCAGGCTCTATCCCCAGTCGGGGGCATGCAGGAGGCAGCCAATCAATGACTCTCATCATTGATGTTTCTACCTCTCTCTCTCCCTCCTTTCCTCTCTCTGAAATCAATAAAGATATATCAAAAAAAAAAAAGCTAAAGGAAGAGTGCTTTTTAACTTTGCTTTTGTACAGTATCTTGGATAGATGGTGCTTTGTTTCAATAGGAAGAACAGAAGATACTGAGAAATTAGTTGTGTGATTGTTTTTCCTGAACAAGTATTTATGTTTTTATTTGAGGAAAGCGGGAACCAAAAGAAAAATGAGAGCTAAACCTTTTGAAGACATATAGGTCAAATTTTCGTCCCATAATTTTCTGTTTTTAAATTTGCAAAATAACTCTCATTTACCTTTTTAAAATCCCATCATCATTACCTTACAGGTCACTCTGTATTACTTGGATTTTAAAGTTTAGCTGACACTAGGTTGTATCAGGTTTAAATTTTGAGAAATATAGAGTGTCGGTGAGTTAAAGGTTTTTCCCCCCAATAGTTCTTGATCTTTAATGATGATGTGTTTAGATACCAGCCAAGTTGGATGTAGAGTTAGCACTTTTGAAAAAGCCAAAGAGGGGTCTAACCAGGACAAGTGTTCAAAGAAAATGAACTAGACCAAGAGAATAGATTTATTGATGTGGCAGAGATTTTACTCAAAAAACAATTTTTGAAATGGTATATATCATCAGTGCCCCAAGATCTACACTGTAGAGAATGGCACACAGATGTGTATTTGAAAAAATTTTAATTCCATAAATATTCTCTATAAAACAGCTATAGAATATCTAACCTTAATTTTTCATATTCCTTACTTTGATAGTAGATATTGAGACCAGAAAAGGGGCAGAAAGAAGAGATGGAGGAGAAAAGGGAATAAATAATATGAGAAGCTTGAGGATATGAGGAGAAGATTGGGGAACAGGGATTAAAAAGGGGAAAATTAGAAGACACTTTGTAGAAAAAATGAAATACTTGAAAAAATTTTTGAAAAGACAAGGATGATTTTAAGAATAAAATACATGATAGGGAAAATACAATAAAAATTATATCTAGTATTCACTGAGTATGTATCCATTATGGTCCCAGGCACTGTGCCACATGCCCTCTCATTTCATTCTCAAAACCACTCCCTGAGGTAGGTGATTGTGTTCCTCTATAACATGTGGGCAAAGTGAGACTCTCAGGTGCAAGAATAAGCAGTGAAGAAGTGCTGCTTCGGCGCTCCAGATAAAAGCTTCCCCTTGGATGTTTTTCTTCAGTTTCTTGCCTTTTCCAAGGATTGTTATTGTGTTACGCTTAATTTTTAAAAATTTCAGTTATAAAGATGAGCAGGAATAAAAGAGGAAGAGTACAAGTTTAACACTAAGTTCTGCATCAGAAAACAAGGTTAACCATTAAATGAAACTAGCGATAATTGATTAAAGGCCTTGTTACCTTTTCTCCTTGCCCACCTTCCTCAGAAAGACACGTTTTTCAAAGAAGCCTTCCAAATGAAGGACGGGTTAATCACATTTTTTTACCAGGCAGCAGGACGATGCACAAGATGATCTCTGGCACACTGTTGCTGTTAATTTTGGCAGATATCTTTGCAATTTTTTTTTTTTATATTCCTCACCCAAGGATATGTTTTTATTAATTTTAGAGAGAGAGGAAGGGATGGGGAGGGAGAGGGGAACATTGATGTGAGAGAGAAACATTGATCGGTTGCCTCTCTTAGGTGCCCCAACTGGGGGTTGAACCCACAACCTAGGTATGTGCCCTGACCGGGTACTCGAAAACCTTTAGGTGTATGGAACAATGCTCCAATCAATTGAGCCATCCGGCCAGGGCCTTTCCAATTCTTGTTTCACATTTTATTTTGAGTATTTTTTCAGGAAACCAAGTAATATACTGTAATTATATAATCAGTTCTTTTTTTAAAAAAAAATATGTTTTTATGATTTTAGAGAGGAATAGAGAGAAACATTGATGAGAAACATCATCGATCAGCTGCCTCCTGCGTGCCCCCTACTGGGGATTGAGCCTGAAACCCCAGCAGGTTTCCTGACCCAAAATCGAACCAGTGACCTCTTGGCTTAGTGGGACACCAGCCGGATCAGTTCTTTTCAAAAGTAATAACTGTCAATGAAAAATACATATTTTTTTAAAAATTAGAGATAGGCTTTGGGAAAAAAAAGAAAGTGAATCATACCATTTTTTTCCCTGAACAAATCATTAAAATCATTATAATGAAAGTATAAATAATTAAACTTTACAGGGGCCCTGTTCTCATTTCAGTCTTGCTATGAATATAGTTAATCGTGGCACTAGAGGACTTTAAAGTTATGTCTGAAATTTGAACTCTGTTACAATCATAAAAGAATTTCTGAGATTGAAATTATTTTATTATTCCTTTATCCCTGTTCCCTTTACAGTTCCTCATAGATGTGAATATACTTCTGAAAGCCTACCTGGAGTGTCTGGGGTTTTGGCTTTAAGTGACATTTCATGTATACTGAACAGCAGGTTTGGTTACTCTGTTTTGCAAGGCCTATATTTATTTTGACTTATTTTGGAGTTGCCATGTCAACTAGAAGTATGTTTCAATCTGGAGAATGAAAAGGTAGTATTAAACCTCTCTTCTCCCCTCTTTACCAATTCTTCTCAAGGCTCCTGTTCCAAAGAGTACACTTATTCCAGTAATTCCCATCACCAAATCAACAGGCTCCCGGTTCCGGAACAGTGTGGAAGGATTGAATCAGGAGATTGAAATAATAATTAAAGAGACAGGGGAAAAGGAAGAACAACTTATAGTAAGTAATTCTTACACATTAACTCTTCTAACTATTAAAAAATTCACAATTTTGTCTTCCATATTTACTTACATTTCTTCCTTCTTGTTGAGAGAGAATGAAAATTTTTATCTTTTGAAAAACTTTGACCTTGGCAAGTGAATGAAAAGTGTTCATTTCTTTGCATATGATGGAGACAACTGATGTGACTTAAATTTGGATCCTTGAACAGAAACTATTTTATTTATTTATCTGTATTTAAAAATCACTAGATAGGTGGTATACTTCTAATTATGATAACTCCATTTAACAAAAGTCTAGCTTACTAATTTGTTGGGGAGAGAGGGATTTGACATCAAATACTTTTTAAGCATGAAACCACCTGTGTGGTTTTTTTAATCTTCACATGAGGGTATATTTAGAGGGTGGTGATGGTGAGAGAAACATTGATCGGTTGCCTCCCTGTTACTCTTCCCTACTGGCATCAAACCTGAAACCTAGGAATGTGCCCTGACTGGGAATTGAACCCACAACCTTTTGGTGCACAGGACAATGCTCCAACCAACTGAGCCACCTGGACAGGGATACCTGTTTCTTATTGTCACTTATTATTTGTTTAACGATGATAACATCATGAAGTGTGCAGTTCTGCTCACCTATCATGCTCATAAGAATGTTCTACTGACTTTAATACACATAAGAATGATTCATATGTAAGACATCATGAGATAATTTCCTGTTTATATTTAAAACCATGTCATAGAGTATATTAAGCTTTTTTCTTCAGTGAAAGAACTGAGTTGGAAGTAGTATTTTATTGATGCTTAATTAAGATCCTCTCCCTTAAGGTTAAAGGTTGGTTTAGATTAAACACAACTCCCCAGCATCCTCTCCTTCTCCATATTGCATGATAGGGGAAACTTTCCCTAATAAAATAAAGGTAAATGAGCCACAGGTGAACAGGGAGCTGGTTTCTCTGATAAGTGAGCCCCACAAGCTTTTTTCAGATTGTTCTTCTTGATCCCCTCTATAATTAGCACTGTCGTGATTAATCTTTTCCTCATGTAGGAAGGTTTCTTTGAAAAAACTCAGGGAGAATTGGCAGGGGGAGGAGGTAACAGGGCTTGACATCAGGTATCTCTAGTTCCCATAATGGATAACCTTTTCTTATATGGAATCTAGTGTTATACCTAGATTTCTCATTTTACCATGGCTCTTCTTTATAATTTTTAAAGTAATGTTTAGCACATGATAAGTAATTCAGTGCAAGTTATCATTCAGCATGCATTCACCACCTGTCAGGTGCCAGACCCTGGAAATACAGAATCTTTGCCCATGCCGCTCGGTGTATAGTGGGGGAGTCAAATTAGACAGGGATGTCACTAATGGAGCAACATCAAGGCTTTCTCTTGGCCTAATAACTAGGGGATTTCTGATTTATGAGTCTTCTGGAACAATAGGGGAAGGTTGACACTGAGTGCATTTCTGGGTGAATTTCAAAATCAGCAATAAATATGCATATGTTTGAAACTTTTATAACAGCCACAAGATATTCCTGATGGCCATCGTGCACCTCCCCCCCTTGTACAGAGAAGTAGCAGCACACGCAGCATCGACACGCAGACCCCCGGGGGGGCAGACAGGGGAAGCAACAACAGCAGCCGCTCTCAGTCTGTGTCCCCCACGTCCTTCCTCACCATCTCCAATGAAGGTAGTGAAGAGAGCCCTTGCTCAGCTGATGACCTGCTCATTGATCCCAGGGATAAAGGTACAATGCAGGAGGAATTTGTTACCAGATGATAAGGGAATGCCACCTGTTTTTATTCTGTTTATTTTCTAGCAGGACACACAGTTAAATCTACTAAGGTAATTACTTCAAGACGTTTCAAAACAGATTTTTAAAAATTGGAGTACAAAACAGTAGGTTTTATTGTGTGTGCTTGGGTGATGGTCAAGTTGGGTGGGTTTATGGACTTTTATTCCTTATTTTTTTTGTACTTTTAATAATACAAGTATCTCATTAGTGAGAAACATTCTTTTTGGTGTAAATGAGATGATCATTTGTCCTGAAAAGCACTTTATTCTCTGTCACCTTAGTAGTTATGAGCCAGACTTTGAAGGCAGTTTCGGAAAATCAGCAAAGAAGGCTCTCTTAGGTATGGAAAAGTTCATAGGCAAAAGGAAGCCTTTGGTGTACCGTGCACATATGGCTCTGACTTCCTGGAGCAGAGATGGTAACCGGAGGAGCCAAGGAATCAGCTGAGAAATTCTGAAGGGCAGCACAGGGGAGAATGATAAGCAGCCAGTGCAGAACAATTTCAGCTACTTGTACTAGGAAGAATGGAAGTGCCATTTGGGTCTATGTGCTGTGTATGGGATAAAAATAAATCCGTGAGACAGGCCTAAGAGGTGGTAATTATAAGTGGAAAAGAGATAAAAATCTTTTATTTGTTTATGCATTTACTTAACAAACATTATCTCTTCTTTACCAGGAATTGTGTTAGATATTGGGGTGATGTTGATGAGTAAAACACTGTTTCTACCCTCAAGTAGTTCATGGTATTGGGGGAAGGCAAGAACAGTTAAATACAGTGTGACTAGGCATCTATGTAGTTGTATTTCTTAGTAATCTAGTATGTCATTTATTGCAGAGAATGGGAACAACTCTCCTTTGCCCAAATACGCAACCTCACCAAAACCTAACAACAGTTATATGTTCAAAAGGGAACCTCCAGAGGGCTGTGAAAGGGTCAAAGTCTTTGAGGAATGCTCGTAAGTAACTCCCCCCAAAAAATCCAAAAGCTTTTATGAGAATTTTCAAATAACTTGAAGAATAGTACAGTGATCACCCATATAACCACCACCTATATTCTGTAATAACATTTTGCTGTATTTGCTTTGTCTGTGTTTGGTAGTGTTTTTGCTGAACTGTTTGAAAGTAAGTTGCAGACACCATGACACTTAACCTTAAATACGATTTAATACTTGTTTCCTAAAAGTAACCACAGTACTCCTACATGACCACAATACCATTATCACACCAAAGAAAATTAACAGTAACTGCTTAATATCAGTTAATATCCAGTTGTTATTCACATTTTCTCAGTTATTTCCAAAGTATCATCTGTGGCTGTTATTTTTGAACCTGTATACAGTCAACATCACACTTTGAATTTAGCAGTATATTAAAAATAGACCATAGTTCTCACCCAGTGTGGTTACCTTCTTTCAAGGATCGAATTCCCTTTGGTTTTTATCTACTCTTGGGGTCTTCAGTTCTTTAATCAGTTTTAAAAAATATTTTGTCTGCCAATATAGGAAACAATTCTGTTCGCAGAATCATGTTACTGCGATGAAGAAAATAAGAAGTAGAATTTTCAACGTCTGGTGCTTTGGTTGTATGTACTCTAGTCGAATACTCCAATTTTAGACTCAAACAGCCTTGGGTTTTCAGTAGCTGTGACTCCTTGCTTTATAAGTGATGGCGACAGGGTTGTTAAGTGTTTATGAGACTGAGCAAATTAGGTGATGAACATTATTTGGGAATGTGGCTATAGTACTTAGCCGTCACCTTCCAGTCTCACTATGGCTGCTAGTCTAAAGGCCTCCACTTTTTCTCACTGTGAAACCTAAAATACAGTGTAGATATTATCCAACCTTGTCCGACTCACATAATTTATCTTTTTCATCTATTATGAACATCTTGGAATCATTTTGAAATATGGTATCCTTTTGTTCCTTTATGTGCCCCTCCTGTCAGTGCTTCTTTTAACCTAAATTCTTGGTAATTTGCCACATAAAGATCATTGTATTTGTTTGAATCCCTTCAACTTCTCTAATAGGAAATCCCAGCTATCCACCTCCTATCTGCTTTTGTGACAGTAATTGAAAACTATTTTAGCAACTGCTTATTTTGTTTTTCACTGTGCCAGTCTAAAAGCTTGACTGGTGCCAGCTGAGAGTTTAAGTCAGTTATTGGTCCTAATTAAAAACATTTTGCTTATTTAATTTCTTTAAAGAATACTTTTCTCTCTAAATCTTACTTTTGGTTTAAGGGAAGTAGCTCTGATTTGTAGAGGTTGGAGTAGGGTGAGGGTCCAGTTTCTAGAAATGTATGTTTATTTACCTGAAAGAAAATAGGTAGTTGGATTTGAACCAGAAAGGGCAAGACCACATTTTTCACTTCCCTTTGACTCTCTAGTCTGATACACACACACCGTGGCCCTGCCACCTGCACTTGGTCCTTTTCAGTGAAGTCACACAGGCTGCTTCCTGATCTCAGCTAATGAGCTCAGCCTCGATTACCTTAGATTCCTATATATTATGAACTTTGCAGTATAGTGGTATTTTAAAAAATATTACATGACATCCTTTCTTCCTCTCTCCCTCCCTCCTTCCCATTATAAGTTACTTCTCCCCACCATTTTCTTCACTGAAAATTTATGCCTGAATCAAAAAAGAAAAAAAATTGTGTAAGCCTTTTAAAAATGATACCAAAGAATTCTTTGCATCAATATGGAAATACCTGTAATTGTCCAACCTGTTCATCCATTTTTCAGAAAGTCAGCTAGCAAACATATCTATTTAGATACATAATCCTTTTGGAATAACAATTTAAAGAAAAATAAAATTTTAAAACTTTGAGATTTTTTTTCTTTTTTAGTTATGGTTCTTAAGTTGAAGAAAGCTTTGATATAATATTAATACTTACAGCTTCTACTAGCATAAGTCATACGCCTGAGGGGTGGGTAATATGCTTCTAGAAGTTAAATGTTAAGAGGTCAGGAATGATTCCTCTTCGTGAGTTGGGGCAGTAACTGGAGAAGGAAACAAGGAGAGGGTTTTTTTGGTGCTTTTTACTGTTAATGTTCTGTTTTCTTGATCTGGGTGCTAGTTAGACAAAGTTACTGTTTATATAATTTTGTGTAAACATTTTTCATAAGTGTTCTCATGAAAGCAGTAGGGAAATTAAACTTTTTAGATTCTCTCATTAAAAAAAATTAGTCAGGAAGTTCAATTGTATTTCAGAAATGTGAGGTTTCATCCTCAAGATCCATAAGCAGTCACATGTCTTAAGTCATTTTTTTTGTTACTTTTTTAAAAACATCTTCATCTGAGGATATGTTTTTATTGATTTTAGAGAGAGAGGAAGGGAGAGAGAGAGAGCGCAAAATATCATTTGGTTGCCTCTCAGGGATGGAGCCAGCAACCTAGGTATGTGCCCTGACTGGAATTGAACCTGTGACCTTTCAGTACAAGGAAGAACACTTCAACCAACTGAGCCACACTGGCCAGGGCTGTCTTAAGTCATTTATTTTTAAAAAATGTATGTTTTTATTGATTTCAGAGAGAGGAAAGGAGAGGGAGAAAGAGAAGCATCAGTGATGAGAGAGAGTCATTGATCAGCTGCCTCCTGCATGGCCTCTACTGGGGATGGAGCCCACAACCCAGATGTGTGCCCCAACCTGGAATGGAACCTTGATCTCCTGGTTCATGAGTCAACCTCACTCAACCACTGTGCCACACCAGCTGGGCTTAAATCATTTTTCAGACGATAACCTCAGCCCTGGCATTGTCCTGTACACGAAAAAGGTGATGGGTTCGATTCTGGTCAGGGCACATACCGAGGTTGCTGGTTCTATCCCTGGTCAGGATGTGTGGGGGAAGCAACCAATCAATGTTTTTCTCCCACATTGATGTTTCTCTCTTTTTCTCTTCCCTTCCTCTCTCTAAAATCAATAAAAAGGTAATTTTTTAAAAGATAACCTCAAACAAATTAATTAAAAACCTAGGACTCATTTGGAGGAGGGTGTAAAAATTGATTAGGCTCCCCACTTAATATAAGAAATCTTTCTCTAATAATTGTCTTTAAAAGAAAACTCAGGTCTGGCCGGGTGTGGCTCAGCGATTGAGCTTCGGCCTAGGATCCAGGTGATCAGGGTTCGATTCCTGGTCCAGGCACATGCCTGGGTTGCGGGCTCGATCCCCAGTCGGGGGCTTGTAGGAGGCAGCCGATCAATGACTCTCTCATCATTGATGTTTCTGTCTCTCTCTCTCTCCCTCTCCTTTCCTCTCCTGAAATCAATAAAGATATATTAAAAAAGAAAAAAAAAAGAAAAGAAAACTCAGGCATATTTAATTTTCTGCCTTCTTAAGCAATTGAAAACCATACAGATAGTAAAAATTGTGTGTGTATTCTTATCAGGAGTTTATCCAAATACATTTGTGGGCCAAAAGTACTTGACAGGTTAAGTTTCTGTTGTATTCAAGAAAGAATAGTCTCCAAATAAAACAATTTAAATGATGTAATTTCCTTTTTTTTACATTTAATAATATATTTCATGTAACCCAATGTACCAGACATATTGTCATTTCAATATGTAGTCAATATGAAACATTGTTCATACGATGTTTTACATTCCTTTTATGTACCAGGTTGTCAGAATCCAGTGTGTATTTCACTGATGGCACATCTCCATTCCTGCTGCCCACATTTTCAGTGTTCAGTAGCCACATGGGGTTCATGACTACCCCGGTGGACAGTGCAGATCTGGACCCTTTCAAGGCAAGGCCTGGGGCTAGTATCTCCATAGGTCCCACACAGGGAGAGTGAAGTGTCATCTATTGAGCACTTACTGTGTGCCAGGCACTGGGATTTATCTCATTAAATCTCAGTGATAAGGCTGGGAGGTAGGGAGTGTTCAACCCATCTCATAGCTGAGACAGCTGAGGCTCAGAGAGGTGAAGTGACTGTCCAGGCCTCTGCTGCCAGAGCCCTTAGGTGGAGGCTCAGGCCAAGAGAGGACTGGTGAGGCGGCAGCTGGAGTTGGGCCTGTCCTCATGAACCCACTCCCTCATGTAATTTTATTCAAGTTATTACACTTGTCAAAACTATTCATGGGCAGTGTTCACTGTTAATTGATAAAATCTGCCCACTCAAAGCACTGTCTTCTTGAAACTTTATTCTTTTTGCACCCACTCCCCAGGTCCGTTTATTCATTCTTTAAAACCCAGCTCAGATGTGACTTCCTTTGGAAGGCTTCCTCTTCCCAAACTCGCCCTCTTTCTTTGTGCCACTGGTTATTCCCTCCCTGTGCTACTTCTAAACCTTTTACAAGCTATTTTATCACATCTGTCAGATCCTCTTGCAGGAGTCTGTACCATTTTTGTGCTATGGACACCTTTGGAAGCCTGGTAAAACTTATACATGGTTTGAAGTAATTTGTAACTTCTCTGATTGTTTTAAATGCATAAAACACATAGGATTACAAAGGAGACTAATTGTATTGAAGTACAGCCCTCAGTACCTCCCTCCCTCCAATATTATCTCCTTGTAGATTGTTTCATCTTCGGGTCCCCAGAAGCTAATGCAGACTTGGCATGCTCAGATTTTTAATTTTGTGATATTTCCATGTTACTTTAACACTTTAATTTTCTATATTTTTATTTTCATAGAATACCATTAACACTAGTATCCTTTTCCAACTATTTGGGTTAATTTTCAGGAGCATCTGGGATAGGGAAGGATTTGACTTGAATAAAAGTTTGAGAGCAGAAGACTACCATTAGTTTTATTTTGGTTTCACATTTCTATTATGTTTCTCAGAAAACCATCATGGTTAACTCAGTTGTTTCAATCAAAGATTTTTAAGTGCACTTGAAGGGAAAACTTAAGCCTATCAAAGTTTAGTCGTGCAGTAGTTGAACTTAGCAAAAGATGGATATGGTGTCATTGACTTCTTTGCATCTCCTTTCAGAATAGTGCAGACTTTGGAAAATCATGGTAGTGGAACATATTTTTGTCTTTGAACATTCAGAATTTCTTTACTTTAGGAAATTCTTTATTAGTATGAATAAGGAATTTCCTAAAGTAAAGAAATTCTGAGTTTTCAGATCTTCATCGAGTTGTAGTAGTCATCAGCCTGAGCTACCTATGTGGTGCACAGGGCCCACCAGGCAACTGAAAGCAGCAACGTGAATGGCGTCCTTCAGGCATTCTGAAATATGTATTTTGAATTGTTTCTAATTCCACTGTGGTCCATAGCATTTGAAGCTTTTGATATAGCTTGAATTTTGTATTCCTTTTACGTATCTATAAGTTACCTGTTTAAATATTATAAAAAAATAACTTACTTCCAGTGTTCTGTGACTTTAAAAGTATTGGGTTGTCTGCTCTGTCTAGGCCAAAACAGCTTCATGAAATCCCAGCCTTTTACTGTCCTGACAAAAACAAGGTGAATTTCATTCCTAAAAGTGGCTCTGCTTTCTGCCTCGTCAGCATCCTCAAGCCACTCCTTCCCACACCAGACCTCACCCTCAAGGGCTCTGGCCACAGTCTGACAGTCACCACTGGCATGACAACCACTCTGCTGCAGCCCATTGCTGTGGCCTCCCTGTCTACAAACACAGAGCAAGACCGAGTCTCCCGGGGAACGAGTACAGTCATGCCATCGGCTTCTCTACTCACACCACCAGAACCAATTGAGGAAGCTGAAGGATAGGTCCCAGCGCTGCGTAGCCACTGTTCCTCAGATCTCTTGACCATGATGGCACCGTGCCCTCCCAGTTGGCTGTGACGTGCTCCAGCTTTCCACAGTGACGTGTCCCAGCACAGCTTCTGGAAGAAAGCCCCCCTCTGATGGCTCTGCTCGCTCCTGAAGGCCAGCCCTAGTGCTTAGCCTACTTTTTCCTAAAGCACCGGTTGAAACAAAAGGTCTCATTCTTTACTTTTGGCGGGCTAATAACATTGTTTTTTGTTTTCAAATTAAACAACTTTAGAAACAAAAACAAGACAAAAAACTGACCCCTGCAAACATGATTCCTGGAGACGTGAATGATGCTGCAAGAACCATCTTTTATATGAATATGACTATTTTATAATACCAATGTTACATTTTCTGAAATGTAGCAAACAGATGTTCAAAAGATTCTTTGGTGGCCTCTGTTTCTTGTTTCCCTTTCTAGATGTGTGCATTTCTGAGCTGTTTTCAGCTTTGGGACCAAAGGGATTGTTGACATTTTCCCAGCAATCTTAATCTCATGACTGTGTTCTTCTCCCAAACAGGAATTGATAAATACATTGAACAAGTATATATAAAAAGAAATAAAAAGCAATATCAGTACATTGTGATTTATGTTTTTTGATGTCAGAAGTTTGTGCTTTGGGTGAAATATTTGTAAAACTGCTGTTTTCTTCACTACTCCTGTACACATTTCATTATGTGCTCAGAAAAATTGTATTCTGGAGACGAGAGCTTAATATGTTCTCACCCATCGCTGGAACTTGGTTTAAAAGTCGGTGAGCCAAAAGCAAGCTCTACCCGGTGTGGATTGCATAGCTAGGAGTAAGGAGCCCCTTTAGTTTTCTGCGCAGTATTTGTCACCATGATCTCCCTTTACCACAGGTGTCATTCTACCTTTAATTATCACTGTATCATAGTCCCAAGAGATCCTAAAATGACTGTGCATGGATTTCCTCCTTTGCTTTTGTGATGTTGTTGTCTTGTGGATTTGGTCAGGGTTAGTAGTTTGTCAGGAGTGTAATCCATTGAATAGCAATCTGTAGTCACAGAATCTTGCGACTGACGTTTTCTTTATGGTAGTTGGCACTGAGATGTTACCTACAGGTTTTGCTAATTGTTTCTCCATTCCACACAGTGGGGAAAACGGGCAAAGGAGAGCTTTGGAGCATAGACAACAGGAATCTTTGAAAAACCCAGTTCTGGATTTAGGCTTATTCTAATACAGTCACTGCCAATATCACACGTCAGCAGTATTTCATGTCTGGGTATGTGGCAGTAAAATTAAGGAGCAGCTCTGTCTTTTAAGAAGTGAGTTTCAGCAAACTGTGTTGATAAAAAGCATCCTAAGGTCTTCGCATACTACCTTATGATGCAATAATTTAATGTTCTTATACACATTAAAGAGAGAGAAAGTTTTAAATACTTGTAAAAGGGATATAATTTAGAGGGTTACTGTGTCAGTTTATCCAGACATATCCCATCAAAGAAAACCTAGTGGTAGCAATAAATCTTCTGAAAGTACTTCTTATTCTCATGCACCTTTAAAACATCTAAGTAATAATAAATATGCCCTATTAAAGTTTAAATGGAGATGTATTTAGGGAAGTTAGATAAATTAAACATACAAGTCTTAGGTTAGTCGATGAGACTGATGAATTTTGGTACCTTTTTTGTCCGAAGCTAATTTACTTGGAATTAGTACATGTGGCTTTTAAATCAGTAAAAGCCCAGTTATTCAGGATCTAAATGTTCTGGTTGGTTTGTTGAGAACCTTGATTCTTTGCCTTTGCCTTTACCATCCCACCACAGAGAACCGCTCTATCAGAAGTACAGAAAAGGTAAAACTGAAATCAGGTGAGTTAGTTTAAAAGGTAGGCAGAGGAAGTTAAAAACAAGGTTAAAAAAAAACACTCCTTAGTTTTTGGATTATCTGAGCTCTGTTAAATCCGTGTTAACACTTACCTTTCTTCTGTCTCCATCCCTACAAGTTACAAGGGTATTTTACAACTTGAATGCCACTTCGTGAAGTTTTTCCTTTTACTCTGTTGTGTATGATTGTCTAATTCACATTTTTCTGTAGAGTTTCATATCTCCTTAATCTAAAGTAATTTAAAATAGGAATGGAAGAACAAGTTTTATTACTTCCATAATCTTATAAGTGGAACTTGTAATGTTTGGTTGTAAGGGGAATGTGAATTTGTAGGTAAATGAATTGTATGGCAGCCAAGCGTGTCTCTTGGGTTTGGGAGAAATAGAGCCTGAGATTTGAAGAAGAAAAAGGTACAAGGTACAAACCACTCTAACTGCCAGTGCCAAAGGGCTAATTTTTAAACATATGAGATTTATCTCAGTCTTGAAAACATATTAACCATAGGTCCATTCAGCTTTATTTAACCCTTAGTTCACAGGTAGTTGATTTTTTTTTTCTTAATGGGTCTCAATAGAACACATAATAGTGTCTTCTAAAGTTACATTCCAGAGTTATTGTTATTCTATAGAAAACTGTACAGGGAGGAAGTAAATTAGAATAACATCAAGGGGAATATAATTTCAATTTTTTAAAATTTTAAATGAAGTTGTTTCCATTGCAGTAAACGAAATAGGTGACATGTACATTTTGACAGAAGAAGCTATTCTGTGGTTATTCCCTTCGTCATTGTTATTTTTTTCCCCTTAAAGAATTTCTTGTGATGAAAACAGGTAAATTTACTGTTTTTTATCATGACTAAGCCTATTGCTTTTGTCATGGCTTTTGTGAACAATTATGTTTTTAAAAATACCTGTTTTTCCTTTTTCGGTTAATATTGTGAGCATGGATGCCAAAATTATTTTTCATCTAGATTCTTCATTTGTTTAAAATATTTCTTAAACTTATGACAAGCCAAATCAGCCTTTTAGAAGGTGCTATTGCTACCTGTGAAATAACCGGCAACAAGACGGCCTTTTCCTTTTTAATGGTTGGATTTTACTTGAAGGTATTAAAAAATGGCAGAATTTGTAGCCTTGTGTATGTCCAACATTAGGACTGGGTTGTCAAGATTTTCTTTTGTTAAAGGAAATAAAAGAAAAATTGCCACTACTGAATTTACTGTACTATTCTAAACTTAAGATTCATTCCTTAAATGCTTGGACCAGTGGAATGAACCGGACCAGTGGAAGTGCTGAATTTGCATTAAACTAAGAATACTTAACTCCGCACTTTAAGGTTTAAGTTTTACTCTGCCTAAAATAATGATAAGCAGAGCAACCCTGAACAATATTTTGTTTATGCAATCCTGTTGAAAAATATAATTTATGTTTTTTTTTAAAGTCTGTATCTTTCATCTCTGTTGAAGCTGTGTATATCTTTTTTAAATGCAATTTTTTAAAACTTTGTTTTTCTAATAAAATTCTCCCCCAAAACAGCATTTCCAATAGTGATAAATATTGTTACTGTGTACTTATGTATTCCCTGTATCTGAACACTTGTTCTGCCTCACAAGAAAAAGAACTTTTATGTTAAAAATAAAGTCTGTTCTTGAGAGTTTTTTCCTGTGTACTTTTATGAATGTTGCCTTAAATTCAGGTTTTCTTTTCATGCACTTCTAGCCTGATTCAACTTACTAGTATATTCTTTTTCACAATTGATAGAAAAATCAGTTTGTGTTAAGTAGCAGGATTTATAATATTGTCAGTTGTTAACTTCCTTGCTTCCTCCTTACTTGGTCTAGAACTTAAAGTGCCTGATCTTTGTGGTAAATGCTGAGCAAACATTAAAATATAAGTACAATGAAGGATATATATGTTTACAAGTAAGTCAGTACTTCACAGTTTAAGAGATTTAGCTGGGGCACTTAATTTCATTCTGGAATACACATAAGAGGTGTTGGGATTTTTTCTTTTGATTTGTTAATTCTTGCTAAACCAACTTAATCCTCTGTGACAGTGGTTTAGGCTAAGGGGTTTAGTCTGTACGCACACAATAGGACTAGTCAGATGTGACCCAATGAGGACTGCATGCAGTATTTCCACTTAGCAGGGACACCTTTTAAGTGAAATTTAAAATGTCACCATTGCTGTCATAAAAAGTGGTTAACAGATTACTTTGTAAAAAATTATTTTTAGCCTGCATGGCTCAGTGGTTACTGCACTGGCCCAAGTACCAAAGGGTTACTGGTTCGATTCCCTGTCAGTGCCATATACCAGGGTTGCAGGTGCGATCCCCAGCCCTGTTTCTCCCCCACCCCGCCCCTTCCACTCTCTCTGAAAGTCAATGGAAAAAATATCCTTGGGTGAGGAAAAAAATTATTTTTGGTGGGAGAAGTTAGCCAGAATTTGGGGTAACTAATGTTTATATATTTATATCTTTAACATATGCAGAGAATCTCAAAGTGGCTCAAGTTTTCTCCCATTTTCTTCTCTGTCTTTCCCCTCCACCTGTAAAGAGGTTGAAAGGAGCAAATTCAGATCTCAAGCTAGGTGTTCCCTGTAGTCCCATTTACTTGATTTTCTTTTGGTTTTGATTCATTAGTATGAAATATTCAAAAGTTTATATGTCTATAATGATCCTTTCCTTTGAGGGTGTGAAATACCTACAGTACACTCTTCACAGCAGTGTTCTGGCAATGGGCAGTAAGTACTCAAAGTCACTGATAGGTTCTGTGACTTAAGTGAAATGTCTTTTAGCGAAACCAGTTTTACCCTAGGCTAACAGATATAAACAAGAGTTGTTCCTGCAGCATCTCATCAGTGTTATAATGAAATGATGTACATTGAGCTACGCAGGCCACGAGGACCTGCAGTATATTATCATCAGTTTTTTTTCCTTGCTAAGATTAGGTATTCCTTTAAAATAACTTTAAAACTTCTAATAGAACATGGTATGATAATACAAATAGTCTTTGTATCTCTTTGGTTCAGTGTTTTTAAAACTGAGTCTTGAAATGAATTAAATGGGTCCAGCCAACATTTTTTTTAATGAAGCGGAATAGAAAAATAAATTCATACATAAGAGTATTTGTGTGTAAAACTTTTGCTAGACAGAGAGATAGTCATGTGATGCATACCAGCATTTCAGTCAACAACAGACCACATGTACGATGGTGGGTCCCCTAAGATTATAGTAGAGCTGAAAAATTCCTATTGCCTGTGACATCTTAGCCATTGTAATGTGGCAGGACAGTGCATTACTCGTGTTTATGGTGATGCCGGTGTATACAAATCTGTGCTGGCAGTTGTATAAAATTCTAGGCCATAGTTATGTACAGTACATAATACTTGCTAACAATAAATGACAGTGCGACTGGCTTATGCATTCACTATAATGTATAGTGTCCTTTTAGTGTACTCTTTTGACTTACAAAAAAAGTTCGCTATCAAATGGTACGCTTTACCTGTGCAGCCTCATAACATCTGTTTACCGTGTCTTTCTGTCGCATCATTTTCCCTTGTGCTTGGTTTAATGTTCTTTTTATAAATGTAGAGCAGCCTGCGTGTACAGTGTGCAGAGTCTGCAGTAGTGGACAGTAGCCCTAGGCCTTCGCACTCACTCACCACTCACTGACTCACCCAGAGCAACTTCCAGTCCTGCGAGCTCCGTTCCCCGTTAGTGCCCTATACAAGTATACGATTTTTTATCTTTTGTCTTTTTTTACTGTACCTTGTTGATGATTACATATGTTTAGATACATAAATATCTTCCATTGTGCTATAATCGCCGTCAGTATTGAGTATAGTAACATGCTGTACAAGCTTGTAGCCTGGGTGCAATAGGCTACACCATATAGTCTAGGTGTGTAGTGGGCTGTACCATCCAAGTCCGTGTAAGTGCACGCTATGATGTCTGCACACTGATAATCACCTAACAACGCATCTCCCAGAACGTTTCTCCATGGTTAAGCGGCGCATGACTACATACATATGAGGTTGTAAAATAAGATGTATTTCTTACTGTGGGTTGTAAACAAAATGATTTGAAAAACACTGTTAGGTACAAGTTTTCTGTATGTGCCTTTGGGTTGATCTGATATCTTAGAGATGAGACTGGAGTCTTTAATGGGCGGGGAACATCCGGCTGGCCCCTCGAAATCATTTGGTGTGGCCCTGCCAAGGCAACCACAGGTGGGACTCGAAATTCAATAAATCTAGGAGCTTTTTCCCTAGCTCATTTTTAAGTTGATAATTCTGTATGGCCCTCAAAATGATGCTATAAATATCCAAAATGGCCCTTGGCAGAAAACAGGTTCCGCACTCCTGCTTTAAAACATTGTTTCTACATCCCTTTTATAAGTATCTCCAAACTGCTGGTTTTGTTAAAAGAAGGGAGGGAGGAAAACTTTTTAACAGTTTGCATCTTACTCAAATAGAATTTATCTCCATATACTAGACTTTGTTTGATTTTATACATTAGCATGGGTTAGTCCTGCTAAACATTATATGTTTAGACTATTATGGAGGCTCTGAAGCTAAAAAACCAAGAGTATAAGCATTCATCTCAATTCCATGCATTAAGCACAGTTATTTTTTGGACTGTTTCGATGGTTCACAGGAGATACAGAAAAGCCCTGGACTTAGGGCCACAATTTGGGGACTAGTTCTGGCTCTGCAGTGTAGTGGTCATGGGGTTTGGATAAAGAAGTCATCTCTGAAACTCAGTTTTCCTATGTATGTGATGAAGGAAATGCTGGTGGTAGTGCTGTCAGTTAAATAGGTAAATTAAGAAAATAGCTTAACTGGCAAAACTGGAAGCAAACACTTAATCTCCTTATTTTGTTAGGTAAGTTTATTCATTCCTTAGGAAAGCCAGAAGTTTTTGGTCATAGAAAATGTTCCCATACAATTCATTTTAGCTTGTGAAGTATAATATAGTCAAGGCTGTTGAGCTGAAATCATCATAAAAATAGGTAACACTTACTGATAGCTTAACAAGTGCCAGACACTTTATATGTTACTGTTTACTATAATCTTTGTAATAACCCTATGAAGCCAGGTACTGTTCTTTTTACTACCTTATAGATAATAAAATCGGAATTAGGTTAATTTACCCATGGTAATACATCTGGGAAATGTCAAAGTCTGGCCTTGAACCAAGACTGACTATAGAACTCAGCCTTAACCACAAAACCTTGCTGCTGTGGAGTTCTGTGACAGTGACATTAATAAAGAGGTTTTTAGTTTCATTGCAGATTATGTGCCATTGGGCCATTGCCCTGTTTGTGCTCCCTTGTGGACTTCACTGCTTTAGTTGCTGGCAGCTTGGTGCAGAGGGTGAAGAGAGAAAGCAAGCTGGTTAGACACCAGTTCCTGACCAAGCAAATTGGTGACACAAATCCTCAGGGTGCCTGGGTTTTAATGTTGCTATAGGTGTAAAGACTCAAGAGAAAGAATTTAATTTGGGAAGCACATCGGGACTTCAGTCACATTTTTCGTGGCTTTTTTTTTTTAACCTGACTTTTTAAGGAAAAGACAAAAGTAATTTCTTCAATCTTGATAATTTGGTATGCCCATTTCAGATGGAGAAAACAATAAAAAATATTCACATGGATCACTATTTAAATAATATGTGAGCTCCAAAGTAATACAAAATAATGTATAATGTTAACAGTGGTTACTCCTGGATGGTAGGGCTGTGGATGATTTATTTTTTACTTTTCAGTGCTTTTCAGACTTTGGGGTATTACTTTGAAATAGGGAAAAGGAAACAACTTTCTTTAATGTAAAAACAAGCACTTCAAAATCTTACCTGTTCACACCACTCAGACCTTTATCTATATAGGCCTTTTTGTATTTACACTTTGGACATTGAACGGTTTATTTTTACAACACTGAGTGAAAATCCATGTCTTCACTTTAAATGCCAAGGACAATTTTTATTGAAATCTTTAGTCTCCTTTTAAATGGCACATAAAAGATAGAAGCAGATATTTTATGTTGGATTTAGGGATATGACACATCCAGACCAACAATCATTTTTCTTCCCATACTGTTCCAAAGGTTTTCTTTGTCTATTTAAACAACTTATACATTGTATGTTCTAAGTGCATTAATGCATTAGTCTCCATACTGCTGAGTTAGTTAATATTTTAAAATGTATATTTCCTTCCTAGTTTAATTTCTGTATCTAAAGATTCTGGGGCTGCTTTATTGCTCAAGGTAAGGAAATGCAATGCACTGAATCAGTTCTGTCTTCCTTTTTTTACTCCTGCCTTTGGGAAATTGGGTTAAATACTATGTCTTATGTTTCATCAGTTATTGCTTCTGGGCCCAAACGTTTGATACTTGATAGTTTATATTTTGTTACTGAGAGTATTTATACAAAGAACACATATTCCATTATTTCCCAGATCTTGCAAAGTCCCTTATGTAAGGATTAAATTAGAAAGAATCAATCTCACAAGGATATTAGTTGCCCCGGTTTTATTTTCATTCTGTGGTGTATGTATATACCAATTCAAACTACCTTCTCACTACTACAGTCCTAAGGTAAAACCCAAGTTTTGAAATAGGGAAACAAAACTGGATTTGTGTTGAGTACTTTAGGAAATAGTTTTTTGTTTATGACACCTTGTAATCTTTATTAAAAGAGGCTCAGAAAAATAGAGCACATTCAAACTTCATTTGTTCTTATGCTGTAAGACCTCTACATTTCCAGATGGTCTATAAAGACAGTTATGCGAAATAAATATCCATAGTTGAAATACAAACACTCTTTATATTGTGCAAATACTGAAACCTATTTTGCTAACATACAGTTTGTTTCTAACCATATCAAAGCTATGTTTTACAATTAATGAAAGATTTCACAAAATATAAAGTTATACCTTCTGATCTTAATATGCCCTGGTATTCCTGCCTTTCTTGTAAAGTGGTTGTAGACAGATCAAATTGTAGTTCTGGGGCTTGTCTAGGGTTAAATGCGTTCTTATTTGGTACTAAAAGGTAGGAGACAGGCCTTTTCCCTCATGTACTGTGGAGAACATCCATTTACGAAAGCCTCCCCTTGGTCAAGGTCAATTTACTTCGTATTCAGTGGTTGATCCAGATTTAGAGCAACAGCAACTGTTCTGTGTGTGTTCTGTCCTCGCCCTCCCTCCCTACTGAATATGTGGTTGGTTCTTTTATCAGCAGTCTAGGTATAATAATAGCCACATTTCTGTTTCTGGGCCCTAAATGAAGGAGCGTCAGATAACTAATCTTGAGGAAATACGAATGGTTACCTTCATTTTAATAACAGTGTTTTCAATATGCTCTTCAAAAATGGTGTTAAGACTTGCTGAAGTTAGAACTAGACTTGAAAGCCGTTAAATGTTGTGTTTGAGTTAAATGGGCAACTATATACTCTGTGTTGAAAGAGAAAAATGTTAGACACACAGAACTGAATATAATAAAATTCCCTTGTGTGTTTTTTTCTTTTTTTTTTTAGAGCCTTTGCTCTTGGGAAATTGAGGGCAGTATCCCCTCACATTCATAGTCTGGTATTGGGGCTTCTGGCTTTGGGAGACTAGTGTTTTTCTTCTGCGTTATGGTGTCTTTGTTTATATGAAATGACAGGGACTGCTTTGTATGTGTGTGAGGGAAATAAATATATTTGAACTAATGCATTAATGAAATAAATTAATAAAAGAAAAATGGCACAAACTGAGACATAAAATCAGCATTTTCTGAAATACCCAAAGTTGAGAGCAGAGTCACCGTGGATACAGACTTCAGATTGTGAACTGTAGTCATAATCCTTGGTGAGTGAATCTTGGCAGAACAAAGAATTGCAATATGGGGAATTTCACTGAATAAAAGAGTTAAAAAATACTTCTGAAGGGATGGACAAATAAAGAAATAGGAATGAGCATATGAAAAGATTTCAAAGAGACTTCATAACCTTTTGCTGGCCCCATGTTTCTGATACTCGGATAAGGTCTTTCCAGCCTATACAGTACTTGGCCATAGTAGTAGGTTTTACCCCCCGAGAGCTCCCAGGCAGCTCAGGTTGTAGTTAGGCCAGACTGCTCTGGAGGAGAGGTGGGCTGCATTTTACCTATTCTGGTCCATACAATGACTCAGACTTTACAAGCAATTCTCTTGTAAATAATAAATAAGCCTTTTTAGAACTAAGAGCATTCAAACTACGGTGAACAACTAAGTTAAATGTGTTCTTATGAAGATGCAATCGTCTCGGTGACAAAAATAACACACTTGAGTACTGCCTCAAAACTAAAGGGTGGGCAGGAAAAAGACCAGGAAATTGGGTGAGTGATGTGTGTACACAGTGGCTATGTTTTCATTGGCTTACACTAATTTCAATGAAATGCCCTTCCCTCTAGTACTTAGATTCAAAACTCTTTAAGGGCAACAGTTTCTCCTTAGTAATCAAATAGAGCCTCAGATGATGTCACCCCAATAAAGGGGAAAGTGGAAAAATAAGACACTCTCTTATTGATCAGCTTTCTGTAACTCTGGCAGGAAGTATTCTGCGTTAAACACGTCAAGAAACACGTAAATGCAAATATGTATAAGGATAAGGTGTTTAGAATTTCTCCCTCGTTTAGATAGAAGTTTCTGGGTAGTATTAGGATACTATTGTTAGCTGCTTAGGGAGTGTCCTCCCCTCCCTTTCAGGACATGAATACTGTATATCACATGTGCAATGTGTCTGGATTTTCTCATGGTTTATAATATGGAAAGAGACTTTTCTGTTTCTACAGAGGATGGACTTAGCAAATAAATCACCTGCTACTTCCCCACAAATGCTCAATAATGGATTTGAGGGGTGCCCATGATTTCCTGTGATGGAAAAAAAGTAATACTACATTTTAGTTTCTAAGTGGAGAAAACAAGCACTAAGTTTCTCTTTGAATTCATGAAAGCAAATTGAGTTCTCAAATCTCATTCTGCCTTTCTAACTAAAGACAAAACTGGTCTGGTTCTAGTGCTATTTTCCATAACGGAAAATTCTCCTCGCCACTGTTTTACTTAAAATCCAACCCTAAATCACAATCCAGTTTACATGCTGTCCTCTATCCACATAAAGAATTCTCACAGCCAGCAAGGCAACTTACATATCAAAGGCTTTCCAAAGAAATAAGCCCAACTCCTTATGGACAGAATTCTTCCTAGCTGTCATTTCAAAATAAATGTTTATATCTACTTGAAACTAGTTTGTAATATTTTCCACATATTATCAACAGCGGCAAATCCAAGATATTAAAGAGACAAGTGTATTCAAATGTGGTCCTTACCATCTGTCTAAAGCTGGCTGACAGTGTTATTTTCACAAACAATGCTGTTGTGTATGGATTACAACATAAACTTTCCACAAAGGCAATATGTTGCAAAATTGACATCTCAAGGCCACTGAAGTGACATCGTAACTTCGGTCAAGCATTAAGAAGTTCATCATCCGAGTGTCCAATAGCATCTGGGTTTGAAAGTGGATCCATGTCTGCAAATAGATTGAACCAGGCTGACATGCCTTGGTTACCATGGTTGGGAGCTATTAAAAAACACACACACATTAAAGAGTGTCAGGTTTTTGAAATCACATTGTTGTACCACTCTTATGATTTTAAAGTAGATGCTCCTTTTGAATCAAAAAATTTTAAGGCAACTGACAAGAATAAACTATCAATTACATCTCCTTAAAGATAATTTTGGCAAACTACTGCAGATACCTGTACTTTGCTGAGGCTCTCATATCTAAGTGATTGCATGTTGCACTGAGAAAAGACCTGATTAAAAGTGAAAAGGCAGCCCGGCTGGGCGTGGCTCAGAGGTTGAGCATCGACCTATGATCCAGGAGATGGCTGTTGGATTCCCAGTCAGGGCACATGCCTGGGTTGCGGGCTCAATCCCCAGTCGGGTGTGCAGGAGGCAGCCGATCAGTGATGACTCCCTTATCGTTGATGTTTCTCCCTCTCCCTCTCTCTGAAATCAATAAAGATAGTTTTGTTTTTTTTTAAAGTGAAAAGGCAGGCAGTAGTAAAGTCTTCTGAGAAACACTAAGATAATTTATACACGGCTCTCAGATAAGGTTCAAAATGAAAAGTAATCTTTGTTCCTACTACAAAGTGGAAATGTTACATTTGTAAATTTAGTGCCTAAAATGTTTATTATAAAAGAAATATTAAAATATTAACATAAGGGGGGAATCCCCCTAACCCTATCACATTAACACACCCAACAGTTGTCATTTTGGTTTTCAGTTGTTTCATTTGTCTTTTCCATGTGTACTTTACAAATTTTTTATGTAATTTTTTAAAATTTATTTTTTAATTAAAATTGACATACAATACTGCATTACTTTCAGGTGTATAACATAGTGATTAGACATTTATATAACTTAAAAGAAGATCACCCCAGTAAGTCTAGTACCCATCTAACACCATGCATAATTATTACAATATTATTGACTATATTCCCTATGCTATACTTTATATCCCCATGAATTTTTAGAAAAATATTGATTCATTGGTTGTTTAGAGAGACAGAGGAAGGGAAAGAGACGAGAGAGAAATGTCAGTTTGTTATTTATGCATTCCTTGGTTGATTCCCATATGTGCCCTGACAGGGGATCAAACCAGCAACCTTGGCATATTGGGACTATGCTCTAACCAACTGAGCTACCTGGCCAGGGCTCTGTGGCTTTTTAAAAATCCTCAATGGAAGATATTTCTTCCATTGCTTTTCAGAGAGAGCAGAAGAGAGGGAGAGAGAGAGAGAGAAACATCGATGTGAGAGAGATACATCGATTGGTTGCCTCCCTCACTCACCTCAGCCAGGGGCTGGGGATCAAGCCTGCAACTGAGGCATGCGACCTTGCCTGAAATGGAACCTGAGACCCTTCAGTCCTTGGGCCGGCACTCTAACCACTGAGCCAAACCAGCCAGGGCCTCCGTGACTAGTTTTATAGGAAAAGGAGAAATAAGAAAACAATCCCATTGACAATTGCGCTAAAAGAATAAAATACCTAGGAATAAATTTAACCAAGGAGGGAAAGTACCTATTGTCTCAAAACAATAAGACATTGAAGAAATAACTTGAAGAGGACACACATAAATGGAAGGATATACTGTACTCATAACTGAAAGGATTACTATTGTTAAATTGTCCATACTACCCCAAGCAATCTACAGATTCAATGTAATTCCTATCAAAATACCAATGGCAGCCTTCTCAGAACTAGAACAAATAATCCTAAAATTTATATGGAACCACAAAAGACCAGAAATAGCCAAAGCAGTTTTGAGAAAGAAGAACAAAGTTGGAGGTATCATGGTCTGTGGTTTCAAACTATACTACAAAGCTATGATAATCAAAACAGCATGGTACTGGTACAAAAACAAATATCAATAGAACAGAATAGAGAGTTCAGAAATAAACCCTCTTTATATGGTCAACTAATCTATAACTAAGGAGGTAAGAGTATACAATGGAGTAATGGCAAGTGGTGCTGGGAAAACTGGACAGATACATTTAAAAAAATGAAACTGGCCCACTTTCTTACATGATATACAAAAATAAACTCAAAATGGGTTAAAAACTTAAATGTAAGACCTGAAACCATAAAACGCCTAGAAGAAAACATAGGTAGTAAATATTTTATATCAGTCTCAGTAATATTTTTTTGAATATGTCCTTTCAAGCAAGGGAAATAAAAGCAAAAATAAACATATGGGATGTCATCCAATTAAAAAGCTGCTGCCCAGTGAAGGAAACTATCAACTAAACAAAAGACACCTACTGAATGGGAGAAGATATTCACTAATGATATATCGGATAAGCATTTGATATTCAAAATATATAAGAAACTCATATACCTCAATAACAAAAAAATAAACAGTACAATCAATAAATGGGCAGAGGACATGAAAAAATACTTTTCCAAAGAGGATATACAGATGGCCAACAGATATATGGACCAGCTCTACAGACACTAATATGTAAGTAAGCGATATGTTAGTAATTATTATGTACCAGGCCCTATGCTAATGAGTGCCTGAATGCATTATTTATCATTAAGTGTCCTGTAATCAAAGAGGATCTTCTCTCCCCAGTGGTATTATCCATTATAAACTAACCTTAACACAAAATATAAAAGATTACAGAATTTAGTTTACTATAGCAAGATCACAAATTTCTATTCAATTCTTTCTATAGTGAGGGATAGCCAGGTATAGCTTTCATTATAATTTATAAAATAATATTTATTTATATTTATAAATACATTTATAAAATATTTTTTTGGATAATATGAGATGAAGACTCTAAAGTGACCCTTTTCTAAATTTGTCTGAATTTGACTGATTGTTATGATGGCAAAGAATATAAATAAATAACTTACATTTTGTTGATTTCTTTGGACTGTGTGAAGGCACTGGCTGGCTATCAGTGTTCGAAAGAGGAAGTTCTAGTCCCCCTTTGGAAGCCCAGCCTGGGGGGAGGGAGGTAATGAATTGTCTATTGTTAATCAAATAGCAAGTAGCATCAGAAAAACAAGAAAAGGTAAAAATATCTAGTAAGTCCTCCAACCTTTGTTCCAGGGTAAGATTCTACAGTGTAATAGGTATAAAACACTTAGAATTTATCTGCAATTACGTATTTTATTCAAATAATCTAATTTTAGTCCAAGCTAGAGTTAGATTAGACTTCCTTACACTTTTCAAAGTGCTTCTGAAATACAGTCATGCACTACATAATGACAATTTAGTCATTGACAGACCACATATAAAACCGTGGTCCCATAACATTATAATGGAGCTGAAAAATTCATATTGTCTAATGATGTTGCAGCCATCGTGACAACACGACAGAGTGCAGTGCATTCCTCACGTGTTTGTGGTGACGCTGGTGAGACAAGCTTGCACGGCCAGTGTATAAAAGCACAACACACTTACAGTTACAGCGGGCTATACTGCCTAGGTTTGTGTAAGTGCACTCTCTGATGTTTGCAGGACGACAAAATCACCTAATGATACACTTCTCAGAACGTTTCTCCATCTTTACTATTATTATTATTATTTTTTTTAATCCTCACCTGAGGATATTTTTTCCATTGCTTTTCAGAAAGAGTGGATGGGAGGGAGGGAGGAAGAAAGGGGGGGGAGAGAGAGAAACATCCATGTGAGAGAGACACACTGATTGGCTGCCTCCTGCACATGCTCCAACTAGGGCCAGGGATCGAGCCTGCAACTGAGGTACGTGCCCGTGGCCCGGACTGAACCCAGGACCCTTCAGTCCACCAGCCGACGCTCTAACCACTGAGCCAAACTGGCTAGGGCCATTTCCCCATCTTTAAGGGGCACATGACTGTAAATATCCAAGTTTTATTTTAACAATTACAAATGGATAAGGTATAGGAAGAGAAGTCCTAAGGAGTGCGGAAGAGAGGAAACAGATCTGACAATTAGAATCCTGAAACCAGCAATTGTATTTATACTCTTAGACTCAGTAATCCCAATCCTAGAAATATAAGGAAATAATTTGAAGGAAAAAGTGCATGCATGGTTATGTTTACTGCAGCATTATCTGTAAAATAAAAAAGTAGAAATAATAAGGAAGGAATTAAGTAGATGATGGTGGATAAATGTGACAAAATGCAATGTAGTAATTTAAAAGTTCATTATGAATACTCTTGGTAACACAGGGAAATATTTGCTGTAACATGACATTATTTATACTATAATTAAAATACAGCACTAGAAAGGAAGTTAGGTTATCCTCCTACTGCTTTCCTTGTAAAGAAGAGATCATTTGAGGTGCAAGATCCTATTTGGGGTTCCTATAACATAGATCTTTTAACTCTCAGGGCAGCTCAGTTTCCTTGTTTACATCACAGGAGCAAAAGACATAAACATAAAGGAAAGGCTAGTGTTGTAGAAACAGTCCTGTACTAGGAGGCAGGAAACCAGATTTTGGTTTCCTCTTTACTTTAAACAGCCTGATTACCTTAAATTAAGCAAGACACACACTCACACACTGAGTTCAGTGGCCTCAGCTAGTACACGGAAATACCCTGTTGGCCTACAGGAAGGGACCAGAACAAATATTCTAAGTGGTGAAGAAAGATTGTTGAGATTGTATTTCCAGCAAGAAAGAGAAGAATCCAGTGCTGCTAGACATGTGGCAAGTTAAGGAGAAAGAGCAGAAGGAGTTCATAGGGGAGAATGAATCAGTTTGGAAATATTTATAACACCTGAGCCATCGATATGCCATATGAGAATTATTGTTTTCTAAAACTTTACTATTGCAAAACATCTGAATTACCCTAGAGTGCCTCTTTATCAAATAATACTGTCCATTCTTACATTTAGGCTATTTAACAAATTCTTACTTAGTGACTGTTTAACTGATATTTATATTTACTTATTGAGTTAACTTTATGTTGCAAAAATAAATCCCCCCACAGGCCATGCCCTTGAGGTGCTTGCAGATTGCATAAAATATAATGGTCCTGCAGATAAAGTATGAACATAGGTATTTTAATACAAAGTACAATGCATTAAGACACTGTTAGGTGCTGTGAGGCTTTTTTTCAAGGGTTAAAATCTACTAGGGGATAGAGATATAAGGCAAGATAAACTATGATTAGAACCATGGGAACATAAACCACTACGTGGCCAGAGGAGGGAGAAACCACTTCCCTTTGGCAGTACTGAGGAAATCGTCAAGGGTTGGCTGTCCTGGAGCAGACACTGGGTGGCGAACCTAATACTCAGGCTCAAGCCCAAGTTCCAAAACTGAAACATCGTAAGTGACAGAGGTGACACAGCAAAGATGCCTTAGAAGGATCTGAAAATGCTCACTATAGAAAATCCTCATTTTATAGAAAATGGAAAGTGCTTTGAAGGAAGGTAGGAGATAAGGGTGGACATGCGGGCACAGGCAGGTTTTATCCTAGCGCCCACGGTGCTTCGTTTTAAATAATGTGAGCAGGTACTGGCAGAATGTGCTTCATGGAGAGAACACTCTGGAGGATGTGTGGAGAATGAACTGGAGTTTGGGAGACCTGTGAGGACAACTCTAGCAGAAACCCAGGAAACCAAATGAGGTTCTAAATGGCTGTGGTAGGTAGTGGAGGCAGAGAGGGAAAGTGGGGAATTTGAGGCGTTTTAGAAGGAGAATAGACAGGGCTTGGAAGTGGGGAGCAAAGTGACTCCCAAGGAGCTGGGTTGGACACAGGACGATAAACAGCAGGTGAGTAGAGGGAGTCTTTGACATATAAACAAAGCAGGTGACCCTTTCCTCAGGAAAATACCGTGCCCCCAGCTTTCTCCTGTAGTCCCCATGCCTGCAGCCTTGCCCAGAAGGCTGCCATAGAACCAGCCTCCAGAGCTGCTCCTTTTTCCCTTGTCAACTCGGAACCCACAGGAAGAAAACACACCAAGTTCTGCTAGGTGGAAGAAACCTCGTGCCTGCCCTAGGTAGGGGTAACTTAGCAGGTCAAGAGTTTCAGACAAGACACTGGTTTTCTACGTAGAGAAGATACCTGGGAAAGTCAATGAAGAAAATGTGGGGTTTGGTGGAGGTGGCAGGAAAGCAGCCCGTGTTTCACTCTTGTTGATAGACTCCAGTGGTGATAATATCTGTTATTTTTCCAGTTGACTGGTGTGACTGCGGATTTTATCTAGCAGTACTGAAGTTAATTAAAATCAATCTTGTTGATTTTAGCATCCACATGTACAATATTTTGTTTCACAAAGACAAAATAAGTCATGGGTGTCCAAAAGTTTCATAGACACTTACCGTTGAAAGCTCCAGCAGCATGAAGGCCAAGGTCAAAGAGATGTGAAGGAAGGAAACTTCTGGAATGAGCAAGAGGCTCAGACCCCACAGACAGCTCCTGGAACATGAGGCTCCCAAAGGCAGTCTGACATTCTTGAGTAAATTCACTAGTACTTGAAGAGCCAGGACTTAGGAGGTTGTTCAGAAATGAGAATTCCTTCTCAAAATCATCTTCCAGTGAATCTACAGGTAAATCTTTTGCAACTGTTGAGTGAAAATAAAAACAAAATGGATTTTTTCTTTTTGAAGAAATAAGAGTAGGCTGTAGGGCAAGTCAAATTTGTTTCATTGCTTTCATATTTTATTAACATAACTTTTAATAAACAAACTGGAAGTTTATGTGAAAATTATTTCTAATTAGGCTATGGATCAAAGTGACATTTCACAACGAACATATAACAGTTATGAATATCTATATATGAAATAATTAAGCAACCACCTATGTAAGACAGACTACAGGAGATGCAAGGAGAAATACAAATTAATAGTAGGAGACTTTAATGTATCACTTGGTAAAAAAAGTCCAAGAGGAGAAAAGTAAAGATATAAGAGACCTAAACAGCATAATCAATAAGGTAGCTGTTTTGAATATATACAAACCCTAATAGAAAATATACCTTCTTCTCAAGTACACATTGAAAATTCACAAAAATGAATTATACTGAGGTACAAAAAAATCAGTGAATTTCTTAAAGTAGGAAAATTATAAACAACATGCTCTGATAACAATGCAATAAAATGAAGTCATTTTAAAAATGAAACAAAAAATGAAAAGGCTCTTCTACCTGTAAATTTTAATACATTTTACTAACTCTTGGTTGAAAAGGGAATGGAATTTCTAAAAAATAATGATAAAGAAGACATTTCATATTACAGGGTGGGACTAAAGTAGGTTTACAGTTGTTGATATGGAAAATAATAATAATAACAAGAATAAACTCATATATAACTGTAAACCTACTGTCACCACACCCTGTATAATCAATTCATGGGATACTTAAGTAGCAATTAACAGGAAAAATCATGACCCTAAACAACTTTACCAAATAAAAATGAAAGAGAGGGGCTTTCAGCATGATAGAGTGAGGAGGTCTATGGACCTGCACACCAGTTTTTAAATAACTGGTGGAAATTATTTTTAAAATAACTATTTAAATTCTCTAGAAATTGTTCCAAGAGCACACATCGAATGAAGAAAATTTATTCAAGAAAATAAATTAAAATTCAGAAAGAATGAGAGACTGGCATTTGAACTAAGAACCACTCCCTTCCTCCCCACTCCCAGTTCAGTAAGATGGAAATTCCACTCCAGCCTTGTGCAGCCAAAAACATAAGGCTCCCTCTCTCTCTCCCAAGCTCTCAGTTAAGAGCTTTCTTTCCAGGAGGAACAGGAGGATGTCAGCATTTCATATCCTGTCCCCAGTTACCTGTTGCTAAAGCAAAGTCCTGGGGAGTATAGTCAAAAGATGGAAGCTCCCATTTCCCACTGAGACACCAAGACCCCAGATGAAGGCTGATTTGGCACGCTGAAAATATGGGGGCCCTCATCACTTAACCTTGCTCATAAGGTGGTAGTTTTACACAGGAAGAGGCAAACCAAAAACACCTAAGACTACTGTTACTCTCCTAACTTAGTACTCAACTCCTAGAGCAAGGATGTCTTTTAGAGAGAAACATGAGATCTAACAAAGCCAAACTCATAGAAACAGAGTAGACTGGTAGTTGTTAGAGGCTGGGGGGGAGGGGAAATGGGGAGATTGGTCAAAGGTTACAAATAAGTTCTGGGCATCTAATGTACAGCATGATAATTATTAGTTAGCTACTTGACAGTGGCTAAGAGAGTAAATCTTAAATGTGCTTACCCCCAAAATAAATATGGTAATTATGAGAGGTGATAGATGTTTTACCTAATCTTACTGTGATAATAATTTTGTAATATATATATAAAATCACACTGTACACCTTAAACTTACACAGTGTTAATGTTAATTACAAGTCAATACAGTAGAATAAATAAAGCTAAATCAAAAGTGTTTGTACATAAGAGATTTATAAAGTGACTTAAGGGGAGGGGGTTTTGGAGACTGGGTGACTAAGGTGAAGGGATTAAAAAGTACAAATTGGTAGTAACAAAATAGGCACGAGGATATAACGTATAGCATAGGGAATATAGTCACTAATATCATGCTATGTATGTATAGTCAATCATTTCACGCTTTGTCATAGTTTTTAAAAAAGTGTTTTGACATTTAAAATGTGAACATTTCACATTTTAATGAATTTACCATCTTACCTGATTCACTTCCTGAGCTCACTTCCTCATTTGACAAAACTAACCTACAGTAAAAACCAAAAAGTGCAAAATTTTGGTTAAAATGCATTTGGGACTCATATTCCACAGTTTAATATGTGGTTTTTATTTTATTTTAAACTGGTTGTCGGGTAGATCCCTTAAAATCTGTATGAGACAAATCCTGCTCCTCCTCTAGATCTACACTGATGAGAACATAATCCTTCACCCTTATTCACTCAGCAAACATTTACTGAGTATTGACGAAGCACCACCCACCGTGTTCAGCATTATAGGCACTATGGTAGCACTATATTTTTGAGAACATCTGTCACCAAAGCCATTGAATATAAAGTTTAGCTTTCAAGCACTGAAGGGTTTTTACTCAACAACACTTGGGAACTACAGAGAGGGAACGAAGAACTGCAGGAAAAATGGAGTACTCTAATTTGAACAACAAAGTGATGTTTGCAAAAGAATACAAATTTGCCTAAAATATTCTCAGTCAATACTAATTTTGGATATTTATATCAGCCATCTGGTGTGAAAATAAAAAAATGAGAAAAAGATGCCCTGGCCAGATAGCTCAGCTGGTTAGAGTGTCGTCCCGATACACCAAGATTGCAGGTCCCCGGTCAGGGCACATATAAGAATCAACCAATAAATGCATAAATAAGTGGAACAACAAATTCATGTTTCTCTCTCTCTCCCTCCCTCCCTTCTTTTTCCCCTCCCTTTCTCAAATCAATAAAAAATAAAGAAGAAAAAATGAGACAAAGAAATTGAACACAGATTTAGTCATTCCTGGAATATAGCCTCATAATTCTAGTATTGAAGGTTGTTTTTAATAAGTTTTTAAGGTTATTTAAAAAAACAACACAATACTTATTTGCAAATACCACAAAAATAAGCCTACAGAGCAAATACATATGACTTAGAATGAAATTTCCAGGATACATACATGGTTTTTCAAACAACTTGGATGAAGAGAAGGTGGAATGCTTTGGAATCTGTTAACTCAAAAGGTAGCTCTCATAATGCTGAAGATACATGAGAAGATTTTGAATAAAAATTTCATGAAATGTGATACTGGGAAAAATTTACTAGATTAATATATTTAACATGATTTTAAATGTCACTGTAGAACTAAGTTAAGCTTAATTTATAACTATTCACTTGATTATTTAATCTACATCCTAAAATATTTACAAATTCAAGTTAGCCAAAAATTTGTTTGAATTTCCCCACAGAGAAAAGAGGAAAATGCTTATATTTCAGATCCCTTTCCACTCAACAGTATATGGTTTATAATTGTTTGGGCCTTATTTCTGGGTCCATTATTATACTCAGTATAATCTGGTTAAAATGGGAAGTAAGTGGCAGCTCTAAAAGGGAAACAAAGGTAAGATGTAATAAAAGGGAAATAGGCAACATGAAAGATGTTCAGGTAACCAGGCCCAGGCCCATCTGGGTTGTTTTGAGGATTGATTTTCAACAGCTTCTGTACTCCCTGCTGGCACCTGTCCCTTTGTTTTTCAAGCTGCCTCTTCTGGGAGTCACTAGGTAGAGTGTTTTTTCCCCAATCCTCACCCAAGGATATTTTTTCCATTGCTTTTCAGAGAGAGTGGAGGGAAGGAGGGAGAGACAGAGAGGGAGGGAGGGCGAGGGAGGGAGAGAGATGGGAGAGAGACACATCAATTGGCCGACTGGGGCTGGGGATTGAGCCTGCAACTGAGGTACGTGCCCTTGGCTGGAATGGAGCCCAGGCAGGACCCTTCAGTCCTCGGGCCAGTGCTCTAACCACTGAGCCAAACTGGCTAGGGCTAGGTAGAAACTCTTAATACAAGGTTCAGTCTCCTCCTGAACTATAGAATTTGCTGCAGTCTGGTCTGTAGTCCTGTCTTTGACTTTGCCATGTTAAAAATGGGATGAAAAAATGAGGCTTCAAAGCAAATTTTTAATGTTAATTGGCAAAATGACATAGAAGTAAGTATTCAGTACGCCCGAGAATAAACAACTCTTTCCAAATATGCAATCCTATCCAGGCCCCCCATCATATGAGACACAACTTCCTCCTGCTTACTGATGGAGGTTTTCGGTGAGTGGACTGGTTTCCGTGTGTTCCTTTCCGTGGCCTTTGGTAAACTTGCTTGAAGTGTCTTGTGCTTGCTAAGGATGAGAAATTCACTGTTAAGTGTGTGAGAAGAATCTATTCCTCTCTTTGTGCAAACAAAATGAGAATAAAAATTCTAAAGAACAGTATAAAATAGGAACAGCTCTGAAGTAGATAGAGAGAGATATGGGCAATGTGTGCCAGTATGAACTGAACTGAGCCCCGTGTCCTTGGAAACCACACACACAGTAACGTGGGCTAGCCACAGGGTTTACGACTTTGTGATATGCCAAAGACAACTTATACTGTGTTGCTAGCCTGTACAATGCTTTACAAACAGCTCAGGATTTTCAACTTCAATTCTGAGCAGAAATTGGATATTAAATTTGGCTAAATACATAGTATGCTATCCAGTGAAGTATTAATATAGAAAAAGTAAAAAAACAACACACACACAGCAAAAAACAAAAGCACTAATTCAAAGGCATTATTAGACTGTGATATGTTATGTCAGAACATGACTTAAAAATCCATAGCAACGCCAGGAATATACAGTAACAAGACATGAATCTATCACAGACACCATGTCTAGCTTGAACAAATCTATCAACCTTTTCAAACTCTACTGAAAATAAGGCAGAAAGATAAATTTGAAGTTACTGAAATCTAGCCTAGCAGAACGGTAACTGCAGTGTGACTCTGCTGAATAAGCCGTGTGCAAAGAAGGTGGATAGGAAGATATGCAAATGTTAAAAGCATTATAATCATAGGCCGAGGGCACCTTTTATACTTAGGTGTTACAGAAAGAGCTGATCTAATGCAGTAGTCTCTTCAGGTGCAATCACACATATATAATGACCAAACTGGCACAGTTTTTTTATCATGAATCACATCTAAGACATGAGTGTGAAAGTAAAGCAAGGAACTTTTTCTTTAACTTATACAATTGTCAGGTAGGTAACCTGATAATTTTTTGAAACACATGACCACTTTCTATCACTTGTTCCTCTTAAGTTTTTCCTTTCTATAACCTTATATCTCTCTTGCATTTTAATTTTTTTCTCACATTCTCCCTCTTCTATTATCCCCTATTATCTTGAGCCCACCAGCAATATTCCCAGGTATTTTTTTAGTGTTGCTGATGGCATTTGGAATCAGGGAAGTGCAGATAAATGACTGGCCGAAGGAGTATAAAAAAATGTTTCCCAATGTTTTGTAAATTTGAAATTAGGCTTAGCAAAAAATAGTTTCAATGTTATTACCCAAATGAAGTGTAATATATCTAACAAAAGAACACAGAAAGAAATGTACCTTGAGAGCTACAAAATCATATGGGTGTAAGCCAACGTAGGCCCCATGGATTTGGGACATCATTTGAGCTGTTTTCTCCCAGAATGCAAGCAGTGTTCTCTGCAGAGAAAGAAAAGCTGACATTACAGTTCTGCTTCCTCTCCATGATTTTTTTCAGTGCTATTTTCCCCCACTCGTGTGGTAGATGAATAGTTGCCAAGTAATAAGCAGGAACTAAAATCAATTTTCAAGTTTGGGGAACGAGAAAGCACTGTAAATACTAATTCTGCCCAAGAACTGGCTGTGCACATGCATGTCTGTGAGCTGTCTGTACACAGCGCTGGAACGGACACTGGAGCCAGCAGAGGGGACGTGCAGCCTAGCAGATGAAATTGGCGGATCGGAACACCCCCTGAGGAATCCAAAAGAGAATGTTAAAAGCACAAGAATACCATATTTGTATCAGGGGTATGTGTAAATCTTTATGTTTGTAAGTATATATGGTCTTTTATTACCTGGAGAAAGATAAGATGCACCGCTAAATTTGGTCTTTCATTTACGGTTCAAGAAAGACTTGCCCCAAAAAGTGTGTCCTCAACCCATACAAGTTCCCTGCTGCTCTAAGGTTCCTGTTCAAAGAGAGGGGGATGAATGGAGAATAGAGGAGAACTGAGCAGACGGCTCCTGTGGCTCAGGCATTGTGCTACAGATTGTCATACACTCTTATTTTTGAGCGCATCCTTTCTAGATTCCTGAACTGCACAGTCCTGAAATGATTAGGAAGATTTCCTACAAGCAGCAGTGAATGTCAATTTCCTTTAATTTACTACTTTTTAATGTAAATACAGCTTATGCTCCTATTCTGCCATTTACAGATACACGTTTAAATCAGTAACTGCTATTTGTTAATATCCATCTTGTTCATTGTATGCTATTTATGTGTGACTTGGGGTACTAATATAAGCACAAGTGAGACTTTTGAGGTTAAAGTGATGCGGACAGCAACTTTGGCAGAATAAAAAGAACACATAACCTAGAATTAGAGATTGTAGGTTTTTAAGCCCAACATTGCCGTTTACTTTAATTCCCATAGGTTTCACTTTCCTCATTCCTAAAATGACAGAAAAATTTAAAAACATTTTGGGCCACAGCGTCTTTCCTTTCAGTGAAATTATATGCAGAAGTTCAAAGTGGAGTAGCTGAAATCTTCCCTCCTCAGCCCTAGACTGTCTCTAGGTCTCTCTTTCTCTCCTGGGACAACAAGGGGGTAATGTGAAGCTACTGGAGTAGGCGATCCTAAGGTCTTTCTCAGTCTGGAATTCTATGATTTTCTGACTGTTATAACCTCAGTAAGTCAATTTTAGCAAATCAAAGGAATCTGATCAGTTCTACATTCTGTTACATCCTTTAGACAACCTTTAAAAAGGAATCTCACCACTCATCTTTCCTGCAAGGACCTGCTGACCATGGAGGTGGGTACCTGGTAGGTCGTGAGCGAATGTGATAACATATTGCAGCGACTCGCTCCAAGTAAGTCCACTTTCTGACAGACATCCATCTTTAACTTGTCGAAGGAAGCTTTGCTATTTCTCACTTCGATCTGCACCTGCAACCACAAAAATGTTAATTATTATTACTGATAATACAAATTATAAATATACCACAAAGGTTCATGATACGTATTTTCGGACACATGATATTACAAAAAGAAGACAAATTCCTTTTCCCTGTATTATTATTTCATGATTAATGGTAAAGATTTTGGCTATTTTTAGTAATTGTATGCGTTTCTTTCCTGATCTCTTTAGGCTGAGATAGTATGCAAAGATAGATGGAAAGTATATAGAAGAAGAAGAAGAAAAAAAGCAGTAAGCGAAAAGTAATGTCCAAAATGACTGATGGGCAATATTTAGGTAAAAGTAGAATAATGGAAAGGGGATATAGTTAAGAAGTGTTGAGAAGCATTAATAATAGTTCTAAGTCATGGATATAGTTATACATTTAAATGCATTCCTATTCTATTTCTTATACATAAGATGAGTCATATGTCACCAAGTAGTGTGAATACTCAACTTTTAAATATACTCATTCATTCAAAAAATATTTGTAAGGTATCTATTATGTGCCATGCACTGTGCTGGCACTGGGTTATTGTGGTGAACAAAACAGGTTTCTTCCCCAACATCCCTGAGTGGGAAGCACAGGAAAAAAAAGAAGTAAATAAATAGGTAAGATAGTCTAAAGCTGTAAAGATAACATAAGTGAACAGAAATGGGTGACTACTTTTGGTAAGATAATCAGGGAAGCCCTTGGTGGGCTCATGCATGACGTTTGAACTGGGACACAAAGGTGATGAGCAGGCCATGCTAACACGCTAAGGAGAGCATTCCAGGTCCAGGGAAAGCATGGGGAAACGTCCTGCGTATGGGAGGTGTTGGCAGAACAGGAAGGAATAGGGTAGAACATATTCCTTGCTGGAGCACAGAAAGTCAGTTCAAAATGTTGCTGTAGAGGATCCAGGGGTCAGACTGTGCAGGAATATTTGCGTCCAGATAAGAGGTTTGGATTGTATTCTTTTGTTTTTTTAATTGGAGTGAAAGCCACATAACATTTAACCATTTGAAAATTTACAACTAAGTGATATTAATGCATCCACAGTGTTCTGCAACCACTGCCTTGGACTGTATTCTAATTGCCAAGTATTATAAAGGGAATAAAATTACAGGTTGCTGGGGCCTGAGGCCATGTGTTCATCCACTTCCCAGATGTGTTGGGAGTCATCAATGAGGCAAACTACTTATGCCAGCTGGTACAGAATAAAGGCTTCATCAATAGTACATATGATTTTTATTATAGGTCCTCTAAATATTTATGAAATGAAGGACTGGATGAATTTTATTATTCATGTATGGTAAATTTAGGTGATACAATTTATAATAAAGAGTTTATTCAGAAAAAACATATGTCCATACATAGATAGTTGCTTTAAAAGTCTGGTCAAACTATGTATTGTGGCAGGATGAAAAATTTGATCACCTTTACTTTACTTATAATAATCATTTTACCTGAATTTTTACTTACATATTTTTCCTCATTAATAAACTATTTCCTCCTGAAAACAAGCCCAAAAATCCAGGTAAGAAACGTTTAAAGGGTAGTTAGATCTATTATGAGGGGGATAAAGAAACTGATAAATGGGACTGATGGGTTGGTGATGCCACGCAAAGAACAGAAAAAAAGGGTGACAACCTTTTGTACATCAACCAAGATCTCCAAGCAGCCAAGAATTTATAATATCCCATTTTGTCAAAAATAGTCTGACCTTGATTAAGTTATTCTGTAGAAGTTCAACAGGTTTATGCATCAAGAAAAGGAGAGGGATGTATTTTCATACTTTTCTGAACTTTTCCATTTGTTTTAAGGTGTCTGGGTCCAGTTCTTGGGATACATCTTTCATCCACAGCAGAGCTCCTCTGTACTCGGTGCGTGCCTGCTCCATCCGATTAACTGTCATCAAGGTATCAGACACTGCCCTTTGACTGAAGGTTGTTACTTCTTGTTTAAGACGAGACAGGGGCGTACACAGGGCCAATCTAATGGCAGAGAGGTAAAAATCAGAGAGCTGTACATCCCATAAGCAAAACAAAACAAAACAAAAACAAAGGTTTACAACAGCCATAAAGCATGTTTGCTGTCAAGATGAGCCTATAAATAGGAAATTATTAAGATGCCTAAAGAGATTTTGAAAGCAAATAAGGATCAGATAGCCGACTTTGAATTGTCAATAAAGATGTGTCTGTATGTTTCCCTTTTCTTATTTTAGGAAATATATTATTTTTGCAACATTTTAGATGTTAATCCACATATATAACCTATCAAGTAAACCTGCCATTTCTAAAAGAGTTCCATGGGCCAAAGAGATTCTGTATTTATAAAGCATTATTCTATAAATAGAAAGCCTTTTATCTGGCAAATTTAGGAAAAACTTGGGTATAGAAAAGCAGGTGAAATACTAGAAGAACTAGTGAGGATCGAGTTCTCCGCAGCTGACGATAAGAAACAAGGCCTTAAGAACCGCAGTCCAGCCCAGCTCCTCTGGTCGGCTTTTGACATTAGAGGGTCCTGTATCGAGTGTGAGTCACTGCCTTAAAGATGGACTCTGGTGCTGACTTGGTGTTTCAGAAAAAAGACCACTTAAGTTGTCAATTGTCATTACAGGCCTGATAAGGCCCGGCATTTTCTTTAGAAAAATGCAAAGATTTTTGGCTGTATTTACTAATTGTACGACATTCTTTGCAGCAGGTATCTTTAAGATAAAAAAAACTACAAAATGATAAATGCAAAGTATATAATTAAGAAGAAAACATTTTCTCTGCTTAAAAAGAAAAGTTCCAATGTACTCATGGATAGTATAGTTTCCAAAAAAGTGAAAAATATATACCTATACATATTTCAATTTTAGTTATGCTATGCCTCTGTTACTTTAAACTCCTTAAGAAATTTAAATACAGGCCTAAAGTCTCTTTCTAGGAATTAAGCAACTAAGAATGTCAGTTTTAAAATAATTATTTAAAACACAAAATAAATAAGAGTTAGGCATCAAAACAATTATATGCTGCAATATACTTCTCTTTTAACCCTCTACTGGAATGATCAATAACCTTTGCAATATGCACATTTAGGGACATACATCACACTGTCATAGTGACTACAAATTTAAGAATGATGTAAAACCACATGAACCTTTGCTTGGCTGAGGAGCAGAGGGCCTTGCCAGTGGCCTCCATCATTCTGCCAGCTTGCGTTGTATCTCGTTCTGCTTGAAACTTTAAAAAGAGCCCTAGTTCATTTTCTTCCTCTGATATAACTAGGAAAAATTACAGTACAGTTAATTGTTTCATTTTTATCATCTGTTTGACACACACACACACACAACTACAATTCTCACAGAAGTAATTATCTATACATAAGGATTATTGGGGGG